TAAAAACTAGACACATACACTGCCACAGAGAGCTCAAAAAGAGGTGGGAGAGTAAGGACCAATGACGCGTCCATGGGAACATCCACCATGTATCTTAACAAGAAATCAGAACATATGACCCAACAGAGACCACTTCTAGGGGTAGAAGCACTTGCAGAGATGAACTGGGCCTTTGGAATGCTGCATTTCACAGCAGTCCTAGATCTGTTGAGGCAATGAGATACTTCACATGAGAGTTCTCCTGGAAAATAAGTGACATAAGATACTTACTGAGAAGTAGCCATAGGTCAGCTTCTCAGATGTACCAAGCTCAGTTGGGAAGAAGGGACCTCAGTCTAAAAAGGTGACTGACCGGCTGCACTCCAGGGAAGAGGAATATCAATTGCCACCGTTTTGAAATCTCTCCAGGAGGGTCCGGTATGACTGGTGTCAAAGTTTGTGAGGTGCAGCTTCCTCCTTTACTCATGCAGCAAACACAGTCTGAGGAAGGCTAAGGCCAAGTGTATGGTTTATTTTGAGGAGAGGGGATCAGTGGTGTCTACAGGAGCAAAGAACATTATAGGACATGCTGTTGCTATGAGATAGAAGGACAGGTGAAGAGAAGAACGGGGCTAGAAATTTCCATTTATGGAGCATATCTATGCCAGAGAATTTATATACATTATCTCACTTAATCTCAGGAATCCTGCAAGGCAGGGACTATGAGCTTCATTTTATGATGAAGAAAACTGAGCTAAAAACAGCGAGGTAATTAGCCAAAGCTCATGCAACTGGTATGTGCTGAAATTAGGACTTGAACTCAGGTCTGTTGAGCTCCAAACTCAGGCTCTTCTCAGCACCATTCTGCCTCCACCACCTGGGACACAGGAGGCTCCTGGACTTGGGCAGTGTAGTTGGTGCTGATACTATAGCAAAAAGGCTGTGAACCTAAAGGGGAAGGTCAGGATGGAACCAAGGACCCTGCAAAGCAGAGGGGACCCCCAACAGGGGAATAAAGGGAGAAACTAAGTATCCTCACAGATGTTTGTCCTGTTTACATGAACACATTTCAAAAGAAGAAAAAGTGATACTCCTTGAAGGAAGCCCTAAGTCAGGGAAAACTCCAGGAAGACATCTGCTAGGGCCTCAGCAGCCAGGATCTCAGGGCCTGGCACCCATCACTCAATTGCTTTAGCCCAGACCCTCCTTCCTCCATATTGATTCTATTTCCAACATTTATCTCAAACATCGCCATATCCACCACTACGTCACCTATCATCTGTCCAAAAGTTAATTTACTGACTTCCATTTTCAGTCTCCTACAATCTAATCTCTACTTTATAGGCAGAGTACTCATTTAAAACTGTTTCTCAGAAATCCCTTCAGAGGCTTCTCATTTGCCTTTTTTGATCAAATCCCAAATCCTGCCCAGTCTGCCCACTTTGGTGGCCTGCTTGTGTCACTAGCCCCTTAAGCAAGTTCCCGCCACACTGCAGCGCTAATGCATCCTGCACCTTCCTGTTCAGAGCCTTCACAATATACTCTTTTCCTTCTGAACCACTCCTCCTACCCACCTGGCCAATCATTTTGCAGGTTCCATTCATTTAAAAATGTTTTCCAGTGATACTGATATATCATGGACATGTAATATTGTATTAGTTACATGAGGTATAACAGCATCATGATTCGATACATTCATATATTGCAATGTAATCACCTCAATAAGTTAACATCAACCATGTCACAGTCACAAACTTTTTTTCTTATGATGAGAACTTTTAAGATCCACTTTCTTAGCAACTTTCCAATCTATAATACCATATTGTTAACTATAGTCACAATGCTGTGCATTATACCCCCAGGACTTATTTATCTTGTAACTGGCAGTTTGTACCTTTTGACCACCTTCACCCAGGTTTCATTTAAGTGTCACCTCCTTAAGGATCATTCCCACCCTTGAGGTCATTCCAGTCTAAATTAGGTCACCCTTTGATACTCTCTCAAAGCACCCTGTACAGTGACTGTCTACTCTATCAGACTGCAAATCCTTGGGCAGGATGTGTGTGTCTAGTTTGCCAATTTGGGTGTTCCCTAAATTTCTGCTGAACTTAATAACACTCAATAAATATTTATTGAGCACCTACTGTGTGACTGTTACAATCCAATGTCCTAGGGATTACAGCTGAATAAAAGACAGTCCTCTATTGGGGGCAGGTTTAGTGTGTATGTATAGACAATAAACAAATATATGCCAGATGAAAATGAAACCTGTGGAAAAAAATAAAGCAGGTAAGGGAGGTAGGGAAAGCTGGGGTGAGGTGCGGGGTGGAAATGAACAATTGTGATGATCAACTAGTGACATTTGAGAGCAGTATTTTCACTCACCTCCTAAATACACCATTTTTTTCCAGTTCTCAGACTCTAGGATTTCATCATGTGGATAGTAGCTCTGGTCCATCATGAATAGAATCATGAGTAAGGCCATGCAAGAGAGAATGAATGTGTTGCCTTTGGTAAGCAGGGAGGTGGAGGCCAAAACACAGGAAGCGTAGGGGCAGGGCAGACCCTTGTATGTGGAAGGAACACCTGCCAGGGAAAGATAAGGTGAATTTGAGCACTTCCCGTGGCTAAAAGGTACCTACATGAAGAAAGCCCCTCTCTTTGGGTCTTCCCCACCCCACACTCCAAATCCCCTTAATTCCAGGGCAGTGGTGGCTGTAAAGCATCTAGTCATTCAGAGAGATATGTGGGTTTTGCACTGGATCCCAAGGTAAAGCAGACAGCTAGGACCAGGCCCCTAGGAAGCCTCTGTAGAAGAGATCTTCAAGTCTGTCTCCGCACCCCCACGCGTTGTGACCTTAGGCAAGGCAATTGTTCTGACCAAGCTTGGTTTCTCCATCAGTTTTGGGAAACTGGAGGATGATCTCTAGTTCTAGAATCTATGAATCCATATGCTCCATCTAAAGGTCACACAGTAAGAAAAAGGCATAGCTAGGGTTCCCAGCCCCAGGCCAGGGTCTGCCAATGCAGCCTGAAGCCTCCAGTGGGCCTAGGGCACAGAAAGGGAAGACAGAAGGGCTCCAAAGAAGGCAGGGGAGGAGTAAGTTATTGCCCCCCAGGCTTTTGATTTACCCCCCCAACAGCGCCTCCCCTTCCATGTTTCCTACCCTCAGCCATAAGGCTAGGTCCCACTCACCAGTTGAATAAAAGCACAGGCGGAAAGAAGCAGCTAGCACATAAATGATGGCCAGGGAACCATTCAGAGGCCCATCCACATCCAGGAGCAGGGCTGAGCCCAGGCCAAAGGTGGTGAAGACAGCAAAGTCATTCAGCTTGGGTCCTGGTCCAGAAAGCCAAGTTAGAAGAACTTAACACTCATATGTCTGTACCCTGGCCTCCTCTGGTGGAGGAGCTGGAGCGCTGCCAGGCAGGGTCTGAGGTCCCAGACAGCAGCAGCTGCTCCCACTGGGTGGTCTGCAGATGAACAAACTGATGAACTGTGGAGCCCATTTATCAAGCAAAATCTTACATAGAAATATGTCATTATATTTTAAACCAGTCACTCTGCTTGGGGTAATCTTCATTTTCCCATTCCCTGTGCCACAATCACCGCTCCACTCCCGATTCCTGGATCAGACCCGAATAGGGAGGCAGGGCAGGTAAGGAAACTGAGTGAGGATGAGGATGGCCAAAGATGAGTAAGTGAGCCAGCAGAGGCGTTAGATCTAGACTTGGTGGGGGGGGCTCCCAAACACCTGCTCTGGGGCTGCTTCTGCTACACTCAGAAGGATGTGAACAGGAGTAGTAACTGACAAGGACCTGTGGATGTTAGAGGAAGGAGAAGGTGACCTGAGATGGGTGCTTCTGGGTCAGGGACTAGGGCTCTGCCACCTACCTGATCTGTGGCAAACGGTGAGGTGCCTGGTCATTGCCCCAACTGCCATGTCTAACAGGAAGCTGATCAGAAGCATCCAGGAGGCACACTGGGATTTCCTAAAGTGCAGACCAGCGGGCCAAAATAGGGCAGTGCTTTCACAGTCTCTACTGGACAACCACTCCACAAACCCCCAAGACACCAATACACTTCCTACACTTGCGCGCGCACACACACACACACACACACACACACACACACACCTGCCCGACCTGCTAACCCACACTTACATCCCTTCTGATATTCGCTGCTTTACACACACACACACACACACACACACACACCTATATCCCTTCAACCCACAGTCTTAAAGGAGTGTCCTGAACCCCTTAGTTAATTATGAAGATCCTTTCAACTCTAAATTCCAGGTATTTATTCAATAGCACAGGGCTCCTAGGTTCTAACCCAGTCTCTGCAGCCATGCCACTGTGAAATATCAGATAAATCATTCCCCACCCCAAAGCCTCTGTTCCTCCATCTATAAAATGAGGAGTTTGTGCCAAATGATTTCTTTAATAACATATAGGCCTTTTCAGATTACCTATTTCTCCTAGAGTGACTTTTGGTAGCTTATGTCTTTTAAGGAATTGGTTCATTTCATGCAGGCTATCAAATTTATAGAGTTCGTTCATAATATTCCTTTATTATACTTTCAATGTCTGTGGGACCAGTAGTGATGGCTCCTCTTTCATTTCTGATATTGGTAATTTGTGTCTTCTCTCTTTTTATTGGTTAGCTAGCTTAGAGGCTTATCAATTTTATTGATCTTTTCAAAGAACAAACTCTTCGGTTCATTGATCTTTCTCTATTGATTTCTTATTTTCAGTTTCGTTGATAGCTGCTCTCATTTTTATTCCTTCTTTTCTATTGCTCACTTTTGATTTAATTTGATCTTTTTGTAGTTTGCTAAGGTGTAAGCTTACATTATTGATTTTAGATCTTCCTTCTTTTCAATTTTTTTCTAAGACTTATATTTTTGGGAGAGGTTTTAGTTTTACAACAAAATTAAAAGGAAGGTACAGAGATTTCCCATATGCTCCCTGCCCTCACTCACCAGAATAATTTGGCACATTCCAAGGATGGCACATTCCAAGGATGGCACATTCCAAGGATGAACCTACACTGGCACAGCATTATCGCCCAAAGTCCATTGTGAACCTTAGGGTTCACTCTTGGTGTTGCCCATTCTGTGGGTTTGGACAAATGTATGATGACTTATACACATCATTATAATATCATATAGAGCATTTTCACTGTCCTAAAAATCCTCTGTGTTCTATCTATTCATTTCCTCCCACCCTCCCCTGGCAATCACTGATCTTTCTATTATCTCCATACTTTTGCCTTTTCCAGAACCATTTAGTTAGAATCATATAATATGTAGCCTTTCCGGATTAGCTTCTTTCACCTAGTAATGTGCATTCAAGTTTCCTTAATGTCCTCTGGCTTCATAGCTCATTTTTTTTAGTGTTGAATAATACTCCATTGTTTAGATGTATCACAGTTTATTCACCCGTTCACTTACTAGAGGATATCTTGGTTGCTTCTAAGTTTTGAAAATTATGAATAATAAAACATCATAAACATCCATGGGTAGGTTTTTATGTAGATATAATTTTCAGTTAATTTGGATAAATACCAAGGAATGTGATTCCTGGATCACGTGGTAAAAGTATGTTTGGTTCTTTAAGAAACCACCAAACCATCTTCCAAAGTGGCTGTGCCATTTTGCATTCCCACCAGCAATGAGTGAGAGCTCCTGTTGCTCCACATCCTCTCCAGCATTTGGTGGTGTCAGTGTTCCAGATTTTGACCATTCCAATGGTGTGTAGTGATATCTCATTATTTTAATTTGCATTCCCCTGACAATATATGATGGGTAGCATCTTTTCATGTGCTTATCTAGCATCTGGATACCTTCTTTGGTGAGATGTCTGGTAAGGTCTTTGGCCCATTTTTTCAATGGGTTGTTTATATTCTTATTGGTGAGTTTTAAGCTTTGTGTATTTTGGATTATAGTCTTTTATCAGATATATCTTTTGCAAATGTTTTCTCCCAGTCTGTGGCTTGTCTTCTAATTCTCCTGATGTTGTCTTTTGCAGAGCAGATTTATTTTCTAACATATGCATTCAATGCTATACATTTCAATCTACTGCTGTTTACTACATCTCACAAAGTGTTGATAAGTTGTATTTTCATTTTCTTTTAGTCTAAAATACTTAAAAATTTCTCTTGAGACTTCTTTTATGTATTATTTAGAAGTTTGTTGTTTAACCTCCATATATTTTGGGATTTTCTAGTTATCTTTGTTATTGATTCTTAGTTTAATTCCATGTGATCTGGGAGCATACTTTGTATGGTTTCTATTCTTTTAAATGTGTTAAAGTATGTCTTATGTCTTATGGCCCACAGTGTGGTCTATGTGTATTCTGCTTTTGTTGGAAGAAGCAGTTTACTATCAATGAGCTCCTGTTGACTGATGGTGCCGCTCAGTGCAGTCACATCCTTACTGACTTTCTGCCTGCTGGATTTATCAATTACTGATAGAGAGGGGCTGACATACCCAATGAGGAGAGTAGATTCATCAGTTTCTCCTTGCAGTTCTATCATCATTTGCCTCATGTATTTTGATGCTCTAAATGATTGCATGAGCTCTTTCATGTAGCCTTTCCAGATTAGCTTCTTTCACCTAGTAATGTGCATTCAAGTTTCCTTAATGTCCTCTGGCTTCATAGCTCATTTTTTTTAGTGTTGAATAATACTAAATGAATTAGAAAATGAATAATGCATTTGAGGTTTCTATGCTTCTGTCCAGCACATGATCCCAGACACCTATGAAAGCAGCCACCAGTCTCAGGCAAACCTGAGGCAAGCCGTTCCTAAATCTATACCCTCCCTGACTGCAGTGCTTGGGGGCCCAGCAGAAGCGAACAGAAGGCCTGACCCCAAAGACCTCAGCTATCCCCAAACAACTACAGCATTTCCTTTGTTTAGACCTATACCTACGTGTCTAAAGGGAACTGGGTCTACCATGTGGCATAGAAACTACACTCCCAGAAGACACGGCTGAACTGAGGAGACAGAGATTTTCTTCTGCAGGTATTCTCCCATTCATGAGACTCCAAAAAATCCAGATTTAGAGAATCATAAAAATTTTCAGATCAGAAGGGAACTTAACCATCATCAGATATAAGCATCTTACTTTATGGATGAGAAACAGATCCAGAGATGTCCCTTGCTGATGGTTATAGAGAAACAAACAGTTTAGGATGATGTTATTTGCATTTTAAAGGATTTATCAGTAGGGAGCTGATTTGACAAAGCATTTAAATATGATTCGATTTATAGAAATACAATTTGCTGACAGCTTTTTGGGGGCCCATATACATGTCTCAGATTTTCCAGGATAGTACTAATTTTAAATAGCCCACCAGATTCTAATTTGAGAATCAAAAAATTTGAACAGGTGCCTGCCCAATGACTGTGTAAAGACTACTAGAAGAGAATCTCTTCATTTGCTCATCAAAAACTGTTCTAGACTGCCACAGCTGGAAGCAACTGGAGAGACTGTAGTGTGGGCTCCTTGTTTAAAGATGGAGAAACTAAGGCTGGAGATACGACCCAGCCAAGGTTACATATCAGGGAGGTGGTAGAACTGAGGCTAGGATCTTGGCCCCTGGACTCCCCATGACTGCACTTTGTGCAGGTGATCCCTGTGCCTCAATGCCTGGCTCTCTAGAGTCTCCATTCCTTGCCTCAGGCCATTGGCACCAGCTCTTGGCTAAGAGCTTGCTGGGCCCCGACCTACTTGTAGAAGCTGCAGAAGATGGAGAAGAGCCCCAGGATCATGTTGGCCAAGGACGAGGCATTGGTAACATCTTTCCAGGAAAATTCATTCATCTGGAGGTGGTTCCAGTTGTTGGTCAGGAAGAAACTAGAGCACAGACCTGGGGAGAGGAGAGAGGAGCAAGGAGCTCCCCAGGTCAAAGAGTCTCAGAAGGGGCTCCCGGGACCAAGCCGCTCCTGTCCCCTAGGCTCCATCCCAGAACTGCAGCCTCCCCACACTGTCTCAGTGGCTGGAATGAAGAACACAGGAGGCAGATGTAGGAGACCCGGGAGGTAAAGACAACGGGACTGAAGATGAGTGTCTTGGGCAATTCAACAGCAAAGCAAGTGAACCAGCATTTTCCACTCCCTCTCTGACTGCATCCCTTGTCCTTCCTCCAGCCCATATACTGATCCTCCTGGCACCTCCATGACCCAGGATACAAGGGCATGGGCCCTTGCCCTCATCTGAGAAATTAGCCTTTTGTCATAGAGCTCTTTCTCATAGATGAACTCTTTTCTTTTTTTTAAATTACAAAGCTATGTTTAATACTTTGGGGTGAACCTCACAGGAGGGAAAAAACTCTGGGAAGGGGTAATCTGTCCACCCCAGGTGCGGCCCAGGCAGGGAGAGGCTGTCCAGGGGAAGGGACGCACTGCAGACTCAGGCTCCTTTGTCCAGCAGGTAACACTCACTCCCTCAGAGGGACTGGGCTATGGCTAAGGTGCCCTAAGGTCAGGCTGTGACAGGCCCACCCAGAACAGCAGGCCCAGCCCCAACAGGGGAAGTGACGAGAAACAAAAAAATGAGTATGTACAACACAAAACAGTTCACAAGGCATTTTGTACTCTGTTATCTCTTCTGATCCTGACGAGCTCAGAAGACGGTGCTCTCATTATCGCCATTTTATGAATGAGGAAACAGGTTCAGAGAAATGGCGATATTGGCACAATCACGTACTAGGTGAGTTGAACCTTATCTCGCCTGATTCAAATCTGGTGCTTCTGTTGGGGGCATAGATCTCAGCAGGAGGAGGTTTGCGGGGTAGGGGGCACAGGGATTGCTCAGTTGGGCTGCCCTGCACAGCAGCTACAGCCTCCCCCAGTGGTAGCAGGCCCTGCCCAGGCCTCCTCGCCCCTTCCAGCCTCTCCCAGCTGGGAATCAGATGGCCCTGTCCATTACACAGCCTGTCTGTCTCTGGTTTTACTCTAAAACCAAACATGTACACTTCTTACCATAAAGTGCTTGTGAAACTGAGTTTCTTTAGAGAAAGCACCCCCTTGCTTTCTAAATGGAGAATTCCCCCTGGTTGGTGTAAAATGCCACCCACAAATAGTAACCCTGCACTTGATACAAGTTCCAAGGTGTTTTCATGCCCATTTTCTCACTCATTTTAGAGGTAAGGAAGCTGAGTCCCTGCCTCCACTCAGCCCCTCCACACGGCCCCAGGCCCTTCCGGTCTGTACAAAAGTTAAGATAAATTATGATGGGGAGTTTATCAGGACAGCACCTGATAAACTGGGGCTCACTGATCCCATAGGCCAGCTTCATTCACCGTGGGGTATCAGGAGCTGCACTGATAAAGCCATCAGGACTCCTGAGACCTTCTTATGCCAAGGACCCTCAAGACCTAAGACAGGAAGCAATGTGAGCCAGAGAAATCTGGGAGGGGACGGGGACAAAGGACTGGCTGTATACTCCTTCCTGCTCCCCTAGGTCTCCCCAGCAAGACCAGACACCTCTGTTCCCAGCCTAATGAACTGCTGCCTGGAAGAGTAGCACCCCAGCACCTCTGTCAGACACAGTCAGCAGGTGCCCGGGGCACGCCTACCAAGCACCACACATGCCTCATCTGCACTATTTCACAATTAATCTTTAAATTAATGATCAGTTATCTGCTATATTATCTCTTTCATTCACAAAGAACTTTCATGTCTATGGTTTCCATTGGCCCTGTGAGGTCGGCCAGGTAAGGTTAAAATCTCTACTTGCCAGGTAAGGCAAGGAAGACTGAGAGAGAAGAACCTTGTTCAAGGTCACACCAAAAGTGGCAGAACAAGACAACTTCGCCTTAAGTGTGTTCTTTCCTCTATACTCTGCTGTCTATCAACCAATAGGACTGAGCATTGTATTCACTGTCAGCTCAGACTGAGCTAGGGGCTGTAGAAAATGCTTGGTGCCTGCCATCATGGAACTTAGTTTCCTGGAACACACCCAGGAAAACAAGACTCATGCATGTGGAGACTTCGCAGACTCTGCTCATGGTGGTACCTCCTCTCACAGGTGGGGAAACTGAGGTTTCAGGACAGTTAAGCAATTTGTCCTATCAATGGTGGAACCAGAATTTGAACTGGACCTACTCTTTCCCAATTAAATGCTATTTTCAGCAAAATACACAAGTCTCAGGGATGCACAGATGTGGTGGGAGTGAGGACTATAGAAATGCAGAGAACAAAGGAACAATTCATTCATTCAGCAAACATTTGGTCATGAACAAGGTTTGGTGCCTGGTGCTGGGACACAAAGAAGAGTAAGATCTGGTCTCGTCTCTCAAGGAGCTCAGTCTAGCAGAAGAATTCAACCCCAAACAGAAAAAAAATGACCAGGCTGCTAAGTGAGCATGGAAGAGGGGCCCAACCTGTGAAGGGGCTTGAAGAAGGCTTCCCAGAGGGGTCAGAGGTGAGGCATGGTGCAGCAGAGGCCTGCAGGACTGGATCCTGTCACTCCCCAGCTTCCTGGAAGCCATCAGCACCTCCCAGAGCCCTCAAGATGGAGTCCAACTCCTTCATTCGGTGTAGAACCCTTCGTGATGAGATCCTGCTCAACTCTCTTGCACCCCTTGACCCCTTCTTGGCCCTCCTTGGGAGGCTTGAACCCACCACCAGAGCCTGGGAGATGTTCCTCCTCTATTCCACCACCTGCCCTCGGGCTCGCCATGTGACCCTGGGCCCTCTACATCGGCTTTGCCTATCTTGTCCTCCTCCTCTACTACAAGGGAGGCAACTTGCGTGCAGACTGAGGTCTCCTGTGCCCAGCATGAGGCTTGACAATAACGTTGTTCAATGATTGTTAAATTATAAAGTGCATCTTTCTGGTGCTTCCCCAAGACCCTCATACTGCACCAAGTCACATCTCTCCCCTGCACCAAAGCCTGTTCAGCTTGTCCTCCAAGAAGCCCTCTCTAATGAACTCTCAGTGATCTAGCCTCTTGGACACACCCAGCATCTAAGCTTTGCTTACACCATCTTCCATTTACTCATAAAAAATTTATTGTTGATGCTTGCTCTGTGCTAGGCCCATGTGTTCTGGGGACAGGGAGAACAAGGCCCATCTGCACCCTCAAGAAGCTCAGAGTCTGGCAGGGGAGACAGAAGTGTGTATAGACAATGAAGGCAGTGTGGCCCGTGTTATTTTGGACAGAGGATGTCCAGTTGTTGTGGCTGCACAGGCTGAGGCCAAACTAAGTCTGGAGTGGGGGCAGGGAGGTTTCACGCAAGTGGTGATATCTTTATGGAGGGTCTTTAAGGATGAACAAAGTGGGGGCCTTCTTGACAACGGGAATTGCAGGTGCAAAAGCACAATGAGCAGGCTGGATCCCAGGGAGAGGGGTGACTGGAGGCAGGGGGACCACAGGGGGGGACAGTCCTGTGACCTTGACCTGCAGCCTGTGGGTAGGCAGTGATGTGTAGTAAGGGGTGTCTTGGTCACATATGAGCTGGGAGAGAAGGGTGATCTGGAGGAGGGGACCTGAAGAAAAGGATCCAGCCACAGACTGGCGAGTGAGGAGAGGTGAGCCAGCGGCAACGGCGGACGCAGGGGATGTCTGCGGAAGGAGAGGGGAGAGTGGCGGGTGGCCCGCGTTCTCAGGCAAGGCAAGGCAAGTTGGTGCCGCTTCTCGCCCGGAGAGCCCGGCGCAGCGCCAGAGTGAGAATGCCCGGGTGGTGCGCTCGGCAGGGCTGCGACACTGGCTCGGCGTCTCCAGGTGGTGGCGCCCCCACTGCGGCCCTCTGCGGGGCTGGCCGGCATCCCCTCGCAGCCCTCCCCGCCCGCCGTGGGCGTCCCGGCCAGGCCCCACCTGACCGCGACGGCAGTGGCGCCACCCCAGCAAAAAGATGGAGCCGGGCTGGGCAGCCGCACTTCGGCGCACTCCTTCCGCCGGGCCCGAGCGCTGTCGCGCGTGCTTACCTGGGGACTGGGCATTCCGCGGCGGGGTGGCGGCCGCGCTCCTTCCTTCCCCGCTTCCCGTGCGGCGGACGGGGCCCAGCCCAGGCCGGCGGAGCCGCCCCGGTCCCGAGACTCTTACTCCGGACGCTTAGCTCACAATCCCCGAGGGGCAAGGGCGGGGCCTCAATGTGCTGGGGACCCCGAGGTCTTGTAGTGGGCGCAGTGAGGGGAATGGAGGGATTTGGGAGGAGGAGGTCCGGTCTCTCCATCACAGCGGGTGTGGGGAGGCTCGGCAGGTGAAGAGCCCACACGGTGTGCGCGAAGTGGGAGGAAGCTGGGGGAGATCAGGCTGCGAAGGGCCCCTGGGAGGTACGCTCTGTGTGGGCGGGGCTCTGACTATCTGATTCACTGCAGTGTCTTTGTCCTCTAAGAACCATTAAGCATATGTAATATGTATCCCCCCCACACCCCAGTATTTAAGATAAATGACAAGCTGAGTAATTTACCCTTAGTCCCAAAAATAGTGTTAAGTGACATGGTCAGGCTGGTTTACAAAGATTGTTCTGGCAGCCAGTGTGAAGGAAGGCTCTGTAATAGCGCAGGAGAGATGAGGCTGGAGCAGCCACACCTTGCTGGGACAGCAACAGAAGGTAATGGGAAGTGCAGAGACTAGGAGCCATTGTGACATGGAACCCCAAGGGTGAGGGAGCAGAGGGAGGCCAGCTTCAGAGCCTCTCTGAGGCATCTAGTTACGGCAACTGGGTGACCAGTGTGCTAACGAAACTTGTTAGTATTGGGCAGTCTCCCAGGCACCAGCCCTAATACCTGCCCCACATTTGCTAACCTAAGTTAGAGCACCAGTAGCTTCCAGAAGCCTACCGAAGAATATGCAACGAGAAAGGGTGGAGCTAGGAGGGCCAGCGATACTTCGCAAAGTGAGGAGTACAGGATCTAGTTTGAGTGGGTACTAGCCACCGGGCACTGTGCTCAATGCTTTATAGCCATTACCATCATCCTACTGGGCTTCTTCAAGTGCCCCTGATGTTAGTAGTGGCATTCCCATTCTGCAGAAAAGTAAATGAAGGTTCGCTGATTTTACCAAAGGTTACTCAGTTAATAATTAGTGGAGCTGAGACCTGAACACAGTCTAACGCTAAAGTCAGACCTAAGATGTCAGAGAAGCTAAAAGGGAAGGAGAATGGAGGCAACCAAATGTGCGCTGTAAGAGGCCAACTTGTATGAGAGCACAAGCCCAAGTCAGGCCAACTTTTTTTATCATTTGCATTTCTCTTGGTTCGTCCATGCCATGTGGACCATTAAAGCAGCGGATTAAAACCTACAGCAGAATGGTTATGCTACTGGCTTTAACTTTTAACCAAGTTCACATTCCAGCTCTAACACTTACCAGATGTGTAACCTTGAACTGTTACTTTGCCTTCCTGAACCTATTTCCTAACCTGTAAATCGGAGTGTTGTTAAGAATTGAATGAGATTACGTAAATGCTTAGCACAGAGTAGAATCTTAATTATCATCGTTATATTATTCTAAAGACATGATCATGCACCTGTTAGCCTGGACATCCCCAAGGCTTCCTTCAGAGGCAGAGGAAGCAGCAGTAGCTAAGACCCTCCTCCCTGTCTGTCACAAGTTGCTAGCTTCCTCCCATTCTGGATTCCACAGGAAGTGGAGAACAAGAACAGTAAGGTTAGACTGAGAACACTTGCAGTATGGTGGCCACTAGCCACATGTGGCCCTCAGGCACTTGAAACATGGTCAATCCAAATTAAGATGTACTGTACATGTAAAATACACACCAGAGTTCAAGCATTTAGTTTAAAAAAAAGAATGTAAAATAGCAATTAAAAAATTTTATTGAAATGTTAATATTTTAGATATACAGGGTTAGATAAAATATATTAAAATTAATTTCATGGTTTTTCCTTTTAATGTTTAAAAATGTTTAAATCATATATACAGCTCACATAATACTATTAGCTGCACTGACTTACCTACAGATGTCCACCCATTCACCCGTTATTAGAGTATTTATTACGTGCCCAGCACTATTTTAGGTACTAGGGATGTAGCACTAAGTAAGACAGCCCTGTTTCTCTCCTCACAGAATTGGCATAAATGAAGCATGTGGGAAAGGCAACAAATACTGTCTGGTCATGGTAGGTGCTCTGGGAAACAGAGCAGGTTCTGTTTTGAGAAGGTATTTTGACGTGAAAGAGGTTGATATTTCTGATCGGGTGATAAGTGAAGTGATATTTGAGCAAGGACCTAAACAATGAGAAGGTGTAAACCACACACAGAGATCAGGGGGGAAAGTTCCAGGCAGATGGAAGAGCCAACATAAAGGCTCTGAAGCAGGAATGATCTTGAAGTGTGAAAACAGCAAGGTCAGCGAAACACAATGGGTAATGGGAATGGTAGATCACACAGAACCCTGGCAAGAACTTGGGATTTTATTCTAAATGTAATAAGAAATTCTTGGATCATTTTTATATAGCAGTGTTGTGACCTGATTTAAATTTTTAGAAGATGAGGCTAACAGTTTCTGTGGAGACAGATGGGAGGAGGGTGAGAATGGAGGCAGGGAGGTAGGTTAGGAGGCTCCTGCATTAGTCCAGGCTAGAGATATTGATGGCTTGGACTAAGGGAGAAGGAGTGGAGGTGGTAAACCGCAGGTTTGGGATGTATTTTGAAGACAGCTGAGACTTGTTGATTGGTGTGGGAAGAATAAACAGAATCAAGGATGACTTAGGTTTCTGGTCTCAATAATAGTTGCGATAGGTGTTGATAAAAAGAGAGGATGTGACAAAACAGGTTTTTGCACAAAACAAAAGATCTCGACTTTTGTTTTGGACATGTTGGGTCTAAGACATCAAGTGAAGCTGCTGGATAAACAAGTGGGCATGAAACGCTGATACTGATTGGAGACATGAACGTGAGTCATCAGCATATAGGTGGTGTTAGCCAAGGGAATGGAGTAGATTGCCTAGGAGAGAAAAAGAACTGAGGGCCAAGGATTTGGCCCCCGAACATCCAAAATATAGGTATCGGGAGACAGAAAGGACAGTCAGTGAAGTAGGAGAAGAGTAGGCAACGTTAATACTCAAAATGAAGAAAAAAGCTTCCCAGTAGGGAATGGTCCAAATGCTGAGTCAGATGCTGCGTGAGACTACAGAAGTCTAATTACCCGCTCCTTCCTCCCACACTTCAGCTCTGTAGGGGGCTGAATCCTATCTTGTGCACAGAAGTTTTGTACACAGCCTTTAGTAACAGAGATGTGGGCTCAATTACTTGTGAGTTGTGTGATCTTGGGTAAAGTACTTTCTATCTGTATAACGATGGACCAGTTGCTTAATCTGAGAACAGATGCTTCCACTTTATAATATACCTCATAAACTGTAGGTTATGTGAAAATTGAATCAGATAATGGATATGCTAGGCAGAATAAAAGCTCAATGAACAGTATTTATCATATTTGTACCTACAATGCCAATACTCTCCATGGTTGTGGGCTGACTGACAGTAACTTGAGAAGGTAAGGACACAAGCAAGCCCTCCTTACCCCCTCCCAGACCCCTGGGCTAGAGAAAGGCAGGTACAGCCAGTCACCCATACCCAGTGAACCTGGACAGAGCTAGCACAGTGGATTACTGAAGCAAAGACTGCAGAGCCCACTTAGTGGCTCAGAGGGCAACGCAGAGGCTTAAATTCAAGACCACAACTGTGAGTGATGGTGGGCAATATAAAAAATGTGTTAATTTTTTAATTAAAAAAAAGGACTAATTATTTTGGGAAATATTAAAGATGTCTTCCTCTTCCATCTTTTGCTGTGTGGATCCCGCCACCCATATTCAAGCATTATCTGTGACTCTTCTCTCCCTCATCCTTCCACATTCATTAGTAAACAAGACGGCAATTTTGTACTTTCCAAAATGGCATTAATTCATCAAATCCAAGATGCTATCCATTCTAAGACACCATTATTATATTTTTTTCAACTTCTTTTTATTTTGATATCATTAATATATAATTACGAGCAACATTGTGGTTACTACATTCCCCCCATTCTCAAGTTCCCACCACATACCCCATTATAGTCACTGTCCATCACCATAGTAAGATACTATAGAGTCACTACTTGTCTTCTCTGTGCTATACTGCCTTCCCCATGCCCCCACCATTACGTTATGTGTGCTAATCGTAATGCCCCTTATTCCCCTTCTCCCTCCCTCCCCACCCATCCTCCCCAGTCCCTTTCCCTTTGGTGACTGTTAGTCCATTCTTGGGTTCTGTGAGTTTGCTGTTGTTTTGGTCCTTCAGTTTTTGCTTTGTTGTTATACTCCACAGATGAGTGAAATCATTTGGTACTTATCTTTCTACACCTGGCTTATTTCACTGAGCATACTACCCTCTAGCTCCATCCATGTTGTTGCAAATGGTAGGATCTGTTTTTTTCTTATGGCTGAATAATACTCCATTGTGTGTATGTACCACATCTTCTTTATCCATTCATCTACTGATAGACACTTAGGTTGCTTCCATTTCTTGGCTATTGTAAATAGTGCTGCGATAAACATAGGGGTGCATCTGTCTTTTTGAAACTGGGATCCTACATTCTTAGAGTAAATTCCTACAAGTGGATAAGACACCATTATTTTATATAACTCCAAGAAAATATGCTTCCACTTAGATTACAACATGCCATTGACTTTTAGAAGCATCCAGGTTTCAGAAGTATTAAAATGTGGGGTAAAAAAAGAATACCTTACAATCAATGATACCACTATCTTAGTTCAGACCTCCACTATCTTGTCTAGACCAGCCCCCAACCCCCACTCATCCTTTTCAGCCAAAATTAGGTTTCTAACAAGGCCAATGTTCCCAACTCCCTACCCCAAAAATCTTCCCTTTAGTGCTTTGCCCATAGTCCCCACATTCACTTTAAACTGGCTGCAATTCCCCAAATATCATACTGCTTCCTGTCTGGAATTGCTTTTCCTCCCATTCTTTACCTACCTGTCTCCTAGCTGTTGGAAGTTAAGAGTTTTCTAGCCAGGGTATGTCTCACGCCACCCCTACTGATTGCCAGGACTACTATGGTTGATACGGCTTACTAAGTGATACTACTTTCTTCACTAACAAATATAACTCCAACCAAAAATGAACCCTATCGCAAACTCCAAAGACAACCTTCCTATAGAGAGAACAGTTGAAACCTCCAAACAAGCTCTAACCTGTTTTTCAAAACCTAAGCAGATGTCAGTTCCACTAAGTCTTCCCAAATGCTCCAAGCTGAGTTAGAAAACCCTCCATGGTATTCCATAATCCATGAATACTTCTATTATAGCCCTTCTTACACCATATTGCCATTGTTGACTTGGTTTCTCCACCGCTAGACTGAGCATCCTGTCTTACTTATTCTCCAGGAACTGGAACCCAGAGCACTTCATACTTATGAAATTATTGGGTGGGTGAGTAAAAAATGCTTAATGTATATAACCAATAGTAGGTCCTAGTCTCCACTGAGATGCTACCTCCAAAATCATTGCATTGCTGTTAACTTTCCTGTTTGCTGAGAATACAGCATTAAGCAGGGAAGAGCAATGGCTACACCTAGTGGTAAGTGTGGGAAGCGCACCTTACCGAATAGAAGGAAGTTTTCTTCAATCACAACTCTTTTCTGCTCCATGGTTAGGAAATGTCAAGAGTGGATTTGCACTTTCCAAAGATCAAGCTGATGACTGTATTTAGAATGGACTGGCGAGGGGATAGAGGAGGAAGCAGGAATGCCAACTGGAGGCTATTTTGTGAGAGCTGAGAATGAAGTCCAGATTCATGACTTTTAATGCCACCATACTTAACCACTTTGTATTACTGCCTCTTATGCAGGACCTTCCTTTCTTCCCCTGAACTGAGCGCTGTAGCAGGCAGATTCTATGATCTGTTCAATGATTCAATGATTTCTGTTTCTGGTATTCATGCCTTTGTGTAACTCCCTCCCTTGAGTATGGGCTGGCCTAATGACTTGCTTCTAATCAACAAACAGCAAGGGTATGAAATGTCATTCTCATGATTAGACTCCAGAAAGGAACTGGGGCAACATGGTTTCAAGTACACATAAGACTAACTTCCACCCTGCTAGCAAACTCTCTCTTTGTTGGCTTTCATAAACAAAATTGCCAGGTTGGGGAGACCCATACAGCAAAGAAGTAGGGATAGTCTCTGGTTAACAGTCTGTCAGTAAACCATCAACAACTAATCCAGCGACCCTTGAGGAACGGAAATTCTGCCAACAATGTAAGTGAGCTTGAAGCAGATCCTTCTCCAGTAGAGCCCTCAGATGAGAACCCAGCCCCAAGTGAAAATCTGATTGCAAAACACCTGGAAGCAGAGGACCCAGCTAGGTGTGCCTGAACTCCTGGGCCATAGAAACTATGAAATAATACATATGTGTTGTTTTAAGCCACTAAGTTTGCAGTAATCTATACAGCAACACCTAACAAAGCACCTACTCAAAATGTATCATTACTGTGCAAGTTGGAACCTTCTGAAAACTGAGAAACTTTGCATAGCTAGGATCAACTCCTGTACCACTAATATATGTGTGTGTGTGTGTCTCCTGCAGCATCCCAGAGGCTTTTGCAGCTGACTCCCCAGGGCATCCCTCTGTGGACTGAATGACCAAGTATCACCTGGATAACCTCGTCAGGTTCTAGTCCTGTCATGTGATAGGTCTTCACTGACCTTTTACAGCTCACAAGGCACACAGCTTACAAGACAAGGCCATGAACACTAGGATAGGTTTAGGCATACCAAGCAGATCAGCATTAAGGACAACCATCTCCAGAAAGGAACTGGGGCAATGTGGTTTTGAGTGCACAGCTCTCCTTTTACAACATGTTGTGACAGGTTATATGGCCCTGAAGGAAAGACAGCCCTGCTGGATCTGCTATGAATGTAGTTAATGCCACTGAACAAACAGAAGTGAGGTGGAGCGTCAAAGGCATCCAGTCAGAATCACAACTAGAGTGACGCAGCCTAAAAGCCTCTGCTAAGTTCTTGAATAATTCAGGTCAAAATGAGTGCAGTCTGAGTTAACTCATCAACAGGTTGGCTGTTTTTCTTGTTTCTCATCCACTGCCCTATTCTCTTCCACAATACTTTATAAAGTGGTCCTTTAAATGGATTCATCCTGCCACAGGTGGCTGAACTCTGGATTTCCTCAGCAAGGCTACCAAGTGGATTCATGCAACAGTTAGCAGCAGCCTTCAACATCTCTTCCGAGTCTAAAATCCTGTGAGTTTAGAGGCTGACCATCCCAAAATCTGGTCCCTGGCTGCTGCCTCCAGTCACTCTAGCCAGACAGAAAGTGCAGAGGGGCCAGCCAAGCCTCACCGACAGGGCACAAAACCAGAATCCACACTCAAGTCTGGCCACACCCACCCATTTACCACCCAACATTCCTGTTCCTGGGCGAGCCTGTAGCTGGAGTCACACTAACAGTTAACACCCTCAGCCCCAATGTCACACACTTCGTTACAAAAAGACTAAAACATTCCTCTCTGGAAAATGACTTGCCAACCTTTCTGTGAGAAGAAACTTCTTTCTCTATTGCTCTGACTTATGGGGAGAATAGACGGAGACTGAAGAGGAGGAAAGCACATGGGCCAGTACTCTAAAACTGATGGGCTGTGTATTTGATCCAGAGAGGTTCCCAAGAGACTGATGTGATTCCTTACCATCCCAACCAAAATAATAGTAACAACAGCATTTACATTCCCAGAGGGTCCCCTTCCAAGAAGTTCATGATTCACCTCCATGGCCTCAGTTATGCCACCACCCATGAAGGCCAGAGAAAGAGGACAACAAAGAAGTGACCAGTCCTGGCCATGAGAGCTGTCTGTCAGCACCCACGTTCAGTGAGTTAGTCCCTGGAAGTTGGGTTCAGTGCTTAAAGGCAGGGCCATTGGTTGGCTTAGCAACTTGTCCACTATGCTGATCTTAGCATCTTGCTTCTCAATGTCCTCATGCGGAGTCCAGGACATGTCATGCTGTAGCTTGTAGGCACCAAGGAAGTCATGTGAGCAGCCTGCCCCCCATTCCTAGAGAAGACAAAAGCATCAGTTCTGATCAGGGTAGGAGGTACAAAAAAACAACTCATTTCCTCAATTTATGCCACAAATTTCTTTGTCTTTTTACTTAAGACCAGTCAGAATCGTCCTTAGAAAGCATCACATCAGATACCTCCCACAACAGAGATAATGACTGAAATAATTTAAACACATGTGCAGTTTTTAGAGTCCTATCTGGGCTCATACCACCTCTAATTACCTAGGAAACTACTTACTAACCCCTATGCCTACATTTGCACATACACATGCCTAGAGTTTCTCAAAGACTAGTACAGATTTCTGTACAGAAAATAAATGCCCTTACCTTTGGAGAAATTATGGAAAAATACTGCTGACCACTCTCCCGTCTATAAAGGTAGTAAATGTTGCCAGGTTTTTTCACTATATTACAAGCCACATGGTGCAAGTCAGCATCTCTGCGAGCATCTTCCAATACCTAAAGGCCACAGAGATGCAACAAATTAGCTAGAGGGGGTAACAGGCTATCATATTCAGTGGTTATTCCAAACAAAATCTGGAAATTGTTCAATGCTTAGGATAATGCTCCCCCATAGCAATGAATCACTTCTGTGATCCAGATTATTCTGAAGAGACAAAAATCAGGCTGTGTTACTATGCTGTAAGAAAATGCCTTAGAATTATATTTGTAAATGTGGAGCACTTCTGGCTTTGAGTGGTGTTTTAAACTTTTACATGTTTTTCTGTAGTAAGTATGTTTCTTTTATGACTGAAACGTATTTCTCCCCTCAAAATAGTTTACCTCACTCAAACTTTCTCCCAGTGGGGGATAAAAACCTTTTACTTAACTTCTTGGGCTTATTCTGTTTGACTCAACACTTCTGTATTTCCAGGAGGTACTGACAACTAGTAAGTTACGATGATTATAAGCAAGTTGAGTCAGTTCTGTGAACTGAGTGAAGAAAACGAGAGCCTGCCTAAAGCCACTGCTTACCTTTCTGGCTTGCTCTTGCAAATGTTGGATTTGCTCAGCTATGACTGTCAGCTTGTTGGTAGCATTTGCTCGGGTGAACTCATCAGCCTAAAGGTAAGAGAACACTAACTGTGGGTCAGAAAAGAGTAAGACTTCTATGATGTTCTTATTTAGATCCCGCCCATGTCAACATCTCTGCTTATGCCTAAAATATTCCTTCCATCCTCACCATTCCCCCATGAACCCCCACTCATCTCAAAGCCCAGCTCCAGCTGTGAAGTCTACCCTGACATAACCCCACACCACAGAATTAAGTGCTGCTTCGTTCCTATTTCCCACAGCTTTCTACTTTCCTCATTCTACATTTAGTCGCACTAAACTTCTTCATTCCTCCAACATGCCCAGCTCCTCTTGCTACCCAATATATTGAATATCTACGACATTTTCCCCGTTGCTCTTTGTCTGACTAACCCCACTTACTCCTCTGGTCTCCATTTATTATATGTTGAAACATTTCTAAAATCAGGAATGGGTCTTACAATGAAAATCCAAAGACACTAGTGGTCTGGCTCTTATCACCTGCTATGTAGGAATCTAGCTCTACAGTCACAGTATCTGTTAATCTATTACCTCCTGTGGATTATTTACATTACACCTAGTTACATTTTAAGTTCTTTTTGCCTTCCTAATTGTTAGTTAAAATGTATTTTTAAAAGACTGCACTATGATGTAGACCTGAAACAAAGTCATGATGTACAGGGAAGACTGCCTGTCATGTGCTAAGAAATGCAACTCAAAGCAACAGTAACTGCTTAAACTAGATCAAACAGCTTTCAGAGCTAGGAGACACTGGTGTGACCAACTTATATACTGGATTGCATTATCACTCAGGCATCAGAAATCTGTCAAAAGCTTCCTGCTAACTTTCAAGAAAAGCTGACTAACTTCCAGTGTTATACAATTACATTAAGGAAAAGAAATTAGGTTAAATTTGAACTTGAACTAAGATATTAAGAGAATTTACCGGTTAGTTGAGGAAACTTAACATAAAAGTCAGGTATAAGTCAGTTTATGAGTGAACAGAAACAACTGAGTAAGCTGAATGAATCATTTATCTGTTCCACAAATACATATTAGGAACTACTGCATGTCACACACCATGCGAGGCACTGGATGTACTGGCAAACACGAGAGATCCCTACCTTCAATGACACTACAGATGAATGCAACTGTTCTTTAGAATATGAAGCAAGCTGAATATGTAATTTTAAATTTTCTAGTAGCCATGTGTTAAAAGTAAAAATAAAATTAACTTTCATAATATTTCAAATAAATAATAATATATCAAGTATATATCAATAATTATATGTCCAAAACATCATTTCAACATGTAATCAATATAAAAAAATTGTTGGGATATTTTACATTTCATATTAAGGATATATTTTATACTAACAGCACCCATCAAGTTGGATGCCAAATTTTCACTAGAAATTCTTAATCTGTATTTTAGACTTCATAACACGGTTGAAAGAGTTGTTTCACATACTCAAATTGTTTCAAATATACTTAAAAGTTTCTAATAACTGAACCAATAATCAGGTTTTGAAATTTAAATTCATTAACATCACATAAAATTTTAAATCCCATTTCTCAGCTGCTCTAACCATACATTCCAAGTGATCAACAGCCCTATGTGGCTAGTGGCTAGCTACCACATTGCAGGACAGCACTGGTGAGTTACAGACACCAATAAGAAAGACAACTGAAGCTAATATTATTTGCACTTGGAATGATGATGCACTATAATGAAGAAAATAACCCTAATTATGGTAGAAGCAGATCAAAGATAACAAAGGAAGTAATTGGTTTCAGAACAGGGAGTGGTGAGCACTGCAGGAACTGGAATGCATGTGTAACCTAGAGGCATCTCAATTCAAGTTAACAGTGTCACTGTCATTTAGATAGGCTAGGATGTAGCCTTCTACAGATAAGGCCACCCTGAAGATGTGACATATGATTAGGGTCTGAAGGAAAGGAAAGGGCCAGCCATGCAAAAACTGCAGAAGACTTTTCTGGGGCCAGTGCAGCTAAAGAGTAGTTTACTAAGGGGGATGTAAAAAGAGGGCAGGGACCAGATCATGCAAGGCCTTACTGCCATGGTAAAATAATTTTCATTTTGTTCCTATGGCCATTGGGAGAATAGGTGGCTTCCAGAACTAAGGTTGTTCCAGATCAGGAGTGGCCTTATAATAAATCTCCTTTTTCTTAAGATGGTGGCAGCAAATCTGTTCCTTGTAAACAAAACAGCCTAATTAAAACAGAAATGAGGGAAAGAGTACTTTTAATAACTAAACACAAACTGTGGCCCAATTATTCTGAGGCCTTTTTTCATATATTATTTCATCTAAGTCCCATAACACCTTATGAGGATTGAGATAACAACCTCACTTCCCATTTTAGGAATTAGACTCAGAGAGGTCAAGCAACCTGTCCAAGATTTCCCAGCTAATAAATAGCAGTTGAATATCTGAACACACATCAATCTGATTCCAAATTTCATGCCTCAAAACCAGGCCTCCCAAGCTTTCTGAACACACATTAATACTTACAAGGCATGCTAGAAGCCAGTCCTGCTAGAAAGTACATTTCAATACACAGACAGTAATTATGTTTGATTCAGTGTGTTTGTCTCTGGAGTGTTTAACTTCTCTAAGACTTATAATACTGGAAAAAAGCAGCCTAGTAATACATCCTCTGTGTTTCACTAGAAGGACAAAAACGGTGTTCCTTCTCTTGTTTCAGGCCATTGTAATAAACACGGCAGTCACTCAGTAACCCATGAAGATATCTGCCTAAGATTTGGCCCTGGTAGTCTCCCTCCCAGAAGTGATCTGATTAAAGGACACACGACATTCTCCAAAGCCAGGGAAATCATACTTTGCTCCCCACCTCTCCAGAAAAGAGAAAGCACAAAGTTTGACTCAAAGTAGCTTTTTGAAGCATTTGAGTATTTCTTGATTTAAAAAAGGGTGTTAAGTACAGAGATGTATATGTGAGAGAATCTGTGCATATTAATTATTAAATATATTTTAGCAAAACAAAGACCTTTGAACAGAACCAAGGTCACATGCAATAGGGTTACAGGGACGAGGGGCTATGTCATCAGTTTTAAAGCAGCAGGGCTCCACATCTGCAACACGCTAAAGAGGGCTCTACTGCTGGAAATCTTGGTATGAGATTAGATGGGATCTGGTTTTTCAAGCTTTAGATCTAGGAACTTTCCTAGTTCAAACCCTGCATATTACAGATTATGGAGTTGAGGTTAAGAGAAAAATAATACACTTCAAATAACAGAGCAAGTTAATAAAAAAAATGGGATTAAAACTCCTGTGGTCAAACTTCCAGAGCTTTCTCTGTTATTTCACATTGCCTCCTTATTTTGTTTCTTTTAGCAGTCAATGTCTAAGCACTGGGCTTGGAAATTATGTGTTCAGTGAATGAAAACAGAAAACAGGACAGGAAGACAAAACTTAAGAGTCCTTGCCCTTCTAGATGACGTTAAATGCTAAAAGCTCTCAAGTCACAGGTAAAGATCTTACAGGACGCAGTTTAAAGCAAGCAGAATACGCATCCCTGCTGAGACAGCGTTAGTGATCTGGAACCTTCCCCGGAAAGCTTTACACATATCAAATCGGAAAATAACTTTTGTACTGCCTACCTCACAGGGCTTTCCTAAGGCCCAAATGAAATTTATTAATATTTTAGGTGCTGTGTAAGCACTTCGTAATATCCTACAGGCACTCAAGTTGCAGGTGAAGGAGTCTTTGGTCTCATAAGACCAGAGTTCGAGTCCAGCGAGGTCTCGTAATGACAGTTTTCCCCGTGTGTAAAACGGAGACAGGAACAAATGCTACCACCCCACACGATGTGGCTGTGCGGTCCCACATGTAAAACGCAGGGCTAAACGTGGACGACGATGGTTATTTACTTCCCAGTCGTGCCTCCTCACCTTCTGCACCTGCTCTGCGAGCGCCACGAGGTCTAAGGGGTCCCCGACCCGGTGGGTGTGGTAGGGGCTCACCAGGGCCAGGCCGCCGGGGGTCGGGGTGAGCTCCACCAGGGCTCCTGCGACACACACCGAGGAACACAGGCCGTGAGCGCCCGCCCATGGCCTCCCGCCAAGCCCGGAGACTAGCTGCTCCGTGAGGAATTCTTTCCCCCTTCGGCCTCCCGCCCCGCGTACCTCCCCGACCGGTGGCCGATCGAACTCGGTTTTCTGTGATCCCCTGAGTCGGCCCCACCGTTGCAGCGTCCTCCATCACAGCGCCTGAGCCTCCCTAGCGGCGAGGCGGAGGAGCAGGCGCACAAAGGCTCGTGGGCGGAGCCTCCGCGTTCCCAGGCCACTGGGCGACCGAGCCGTGGAGCTAGGCCTGAGCGGCGAGCGGGCGCTCCAGCTGACGCGCAAGGTTCCGCTAAGAGGCGGGGCCAAGGCTGGCGGAAAGGGAGAGCGGAGCAAGCCTCCTGGGCATGCGCCGCAAGGTCTGGGAGGCAGGGCTGCGTTCGGGGACGAGCCGTCGCCGCCGCTGCTTGCCGGGCCGAGGTCGAGACCGAGGCAGGATGGGACATAGCGGCGCCTGACCTACTCTTCGCAGAGGGGACCGCGGCCTACGCGCGCGGGGACTGGGCCGGGGTGGTACTGAGCATGGAGCGGGCGCTGCGGTCGCGGGCCACCCTGCGCGCCCTCCGCCTGCGCTGCCGCACCCGGTGCGCCGCCGACCTCCCCTGGGAGCTGGACCCCGACTCGCCCCCGAGCCTGGCTCAGGCTTCGGGCACCGCCCTATACGACCTGCGCTTCTTCGGGGGCCTCCTGCGGCGCGCCGCCTGCTTGCGCCGCTGCCTCGGGCCGCCAGCTGCCCACTCGCTCAGCGAGGAGCTGGAGTTGGAGTTCCGAAAGCGGAGCCCCTACAACTACCTGCAGGTCGCCTACTTCAAGGTACAGACCTGCCCGGGGTCCAGGCGGCCGGGAATTGCTGGGTGTGGTTGCAGGCACCCCGGGGGAACTTCGAAAGTCAGGGAAGTGTCCGCGGAGAGGGAGGGTGGCCTCCTGGCCGGGGAGCTCTCCCAGGGCTCAGGAAGAACCCGGACCCTGTTGGGAGACCTGCCTCGCGCGGTTTGCACAGGCAGACGGATGGTAACCCGAGGTCTAGCCTGGGGTTAAGGCACAGACCAAGCAAAACTTGGCGATGTGTTCCCGGGTGGTGGGGGGGGAGGGGCTACGGGGAATAAAGGGACAGCTTGGGTCTCTCATCCTGATCTTATTGTCAGTGTCCGAATGAGAGGCCAGGATCTGTCTACAGTATATTCCTTCCGGTCCGTTTCTCAGTGATGCTTTTCCTGCTGCCCGCGTGCAGCAACTCTCAGGAGGAGAGGTTGCCACGTCGCCAGTAGGGGCTGCCCGGCCCCTCCCTGTGGGAGACCCTCTGGTTATTCTGTCAGGTTTCCAAAGAAAGTGAGTATTTTTAGGAATTTCAGAGTGACTTTAGTGTAGATTTGGAGAGCTCCTGCGTGGTGATGGTGGTCGTGGTGGTGGTGGTGTAACCATACTCAGCGTACATTTCCTGGTACTGTTTTAAGTACTTTCTGTGTATTGATTCAATTGCCCAGATTCTGGCAATATCCTATAAGATAGGTGCTGTTATTAGCTCATTTTAGTGGCGGCAAAAGAAGGAGTCTGTGCTGTACATCTATTACATCCATAATTTAACAGACCTTCAATTCAGTCTAAAAAGAGACTTAGATAATCTTGTGGACCTCAGATTTCCACCTCTCCGTGAGCATTTTGCTTACACAGTTCTGCTCCATTCCTCCTAGTTACTCGGAAGAGTATTGGACTTGAAACCAAAATAATTGGGCTGTGTCTCTGGTCATGCCACTTAACAGCACTTTCTAAAATTTATTGATAAACATTTATTGAATACCTACTACATTCCAGTTCTTGTACAGGTAATGAAAATGCTCGATTTTACTTTTTGTTTTGTCTTGCCTCACTATTAAGAATCACTAAAGTAAAGGCTCCTAAAGGCTGCGGGACCACAAAGGAGAGAGGATCTAGCTTTGTCTCAGAGAAATTAGAGAGACTTGAAAGAGTGGTGATATTTGAAGCCAGTTCTAAGTATTACTAAGGAAAGGAAGGATAGCCATTCCAGTCAGAGTGAGGCCTACTGGGAAGAGAGATCTGCAGGCTTCAGGGAGCCATCATCCAAATCAGGTTGTTGGAATGCTAATTCTGGAAGCCATGTGAAGTAAGTTTTGGAAGAAGGAGAAAGTGGTGGCAGGGCAAACCGTTAGGGGGGGAGTGTGATTGTCAGCATGAGAGAAGGAAATGAAGTGTCTCAGTGCTCAGGGAGAAAAGGACTGAAGGTCAAGGGAGGAGTGAGCAGATGGAAGAAGCAGAGAAAGACAAGAGCAAGGCTGGAAGATAGGGGAGGGAGAGTAACTCTATTAAAGGGACAGACGAGAGAATTTCTAACTGTACAGTTAAGAAACAGGTACAGAGATGGGTTTGTTGACCTTGGGTCACCTTGTTATTTTCAGATCAGAGCCAGGGATGACTGACTTCTTGTTTTGGGTGCATTTACAAGTATGGATGATAAGAAGAGAGAAAAAAATTCTTAGCATATTGAAAATACCAGCTAAAGCTTACTGAGTGCTTCATATATGCCATGCCTAGCACCATGTGTTAGAAGCTGCATATATATCACCTCATTAACCTTCCCAACAATCCTGTGAGATGGTGAGTGCTATCTCCAACTGACAGATTAGGGAACTGAGTTTAGAGAGTAAACTTCATGTAGTTTGTCTAAAGCCCCAGCAAGTGACTGAGTAAACCGAGATATGTCACTGGTTTGTCCTACACCAAAGCCCATGTAAGTTAATTATTAAATCATCAGAGATTTATTTTGGTTTCTACATATGAACCTGTGTAACACTGATATGCTGGAGTCTGTTGCTGTGGACGTTACTGTGACCCATAGCACATTTTTTTCATCTCAAGATTTCTGTATATCTACTTGTTTTAACCTCATGAGCCCTGGGCTCTGAGTCAGAAAATGCTATGTCTGGATTTGATATAGGGCCTTAGGGTTTTTCAGCCAACCACCTTTTCCTTGAATGTGTCAAAAACATTTGATTTTATTTTATGCAAAAAAAAAATGTTTTAGGGAAATTCTTTGGCACGGGTAATTGTTAACTGCTCTTTCTCCTCTACCCCTAAATCCTTAAAGCCTTGGACTTTTACAGCTCAGTTGCTGCATCTGAATTTGAGAATATATTATTTGGGCAGTCAGTCTTCCGTTGCATTCTCCCTACAATATAACTTTTGTTTTTAAATAGAATGTTTATACTGTTGAAGGATTACCTCCTGTAATTTGGAGAACTCTAAGGCTGATTGGAGAAATAGTTGAAAATCTGCCCAGGGCCCTGAGCTCCTAATTTCTGGTTTGTGGTTCCTGCAATAGGTATGTTTTCTGGGGCTGGCAGGGATGGAAGCACACTGAATGGAAGGCTCAGGAAGCTGGGATTTCCTGTTTACTGTGGACTACATGTTTGAACACAAACCTTCAAAGTTAACATGTGAGAACTATGTTCTTGTTCTTGATTCCTAGATAAACAAGTTGGAGAAAGCCGTGGCAGCAGCACACACCTTCTTCGTGGGCAATCCTGAGCACATGGAGATGCGCCAGAACTTAGACTATTACCAAACCATGTCTGGGGTGAAGGAGGCTGACTTCAGGGATCTCGAGGCCAAACCCCATATGGTGAAAAAAACTTTAACCCCTTCTATCTCTCTTTTTATTGAATGATATTTACTAGGGTTGTTTTCTGATAACAGGAGTAACGTATGTTCATTGTACAACATTAGAAAAATGCAGATAACTGTAAAACAGAAAGAAATTAGCTGTATTCCTGCCACCTTAAGAAAAACCAGTGTTGATATTTTGGCCTATTTTAAACATCATCTATATCTTACTTTTTTGACCTGATTTGCTGTCATATTGTGTGTGTATTTTTCATCATCCTTTTTGAACTGACATTTTATCATGAGCCTTTTCTGGTGTCTTCAGATGTTCTTTGAAACAGAATTGGAAATGGCTGCATGATAGTCCATTTATATATAATCATTTAAATTCACCAGTCCCATGTTTTTGGTCATGCAGGTTTCCGCTTTTCACTGACATAAGTGGTACAGTGCTCCTTAATGTTCTGATTCTCTTTGTTTAGCAAGAAAAGTCCATGTGCCGTAGGAAATACCGCCTGGTGGTGTAAAGCATTTTTATAAAGAGCTTATTTTCTTCTCTAAGTTTTAATAGTTTAGAAATAGAGGTTTTAGAAACATATCAGAATGATTTTTAAAAGTAAACTGCATATAGCTAATACATTATACAACTATACACAAAGTGGGGTGGGGCTTTTTTGGTGGTTCTGTGAAATGAAAATAGTATTCCTGAGAATGGGAGCCATTCCCACTAATAGTAAACCAAAGTCCACCATCAGATGTAGCAGCCCCGATCCCCCCTTATTGCTGAGATGATTGCCATTATCACCAGAGGCCACAAAAGTTCTTTTCAATAAACGTTTATTTTGAAAACTTCCTGAACTATTTGAAAAATAAATTATTTTGTTTTTATTTTGAAAACGTTTAGACTTACAGAAAGTGCAAGAAAATTACTATGAACTCCCATATATCTTTCATCTAGATTGAAAATGTTTTTAAATTTCAAAAGGAAACACGTGAAGACCATTTACAAAAGGCCTTCATTATGTAGCAGCTGCCCTTTCCATCCCTGAACTGACACAAGCAGGGAATGAGGAGCCAGGTGAAGGTGGCCGTGGACAAGGAGAGCAGTCGTGGGTCGTCTGTGGCCCGCGGCTGAGTACTTCTTCCTCCAGTAGCACGAGTTTCGGCTGGGAGTGCGGCTGTACTCGGAGGAGCAGCCTATGGAGGCCGTGCCCCACCTGGAGGCGGCACTGCGGGGGTACTTTGTGGCGGACGAGGAGTGCCGAGCGCTCTGCGAGGGGCCCTATGACTATGATGGCTACAACTACCTCGAGTACAACGCTGACCTCTTCCAGGCCATCACAGGTGAGCGGCCCAGAGCCTGGCCCTCAGCCAGGTCTGCCTGGGCTCTAAGGCAGTGTCGTGATAAGGCAGACACAGTGTCTTCAGCCTCATTCCTAAATTTCTTAAACTTGGGGCTCTGATGGAGAATTCCTCCTGCTTGAATTTGTCCAGATTCACTGAAATTTGAATCCCGAAGATTGACCTTATGGTTTTTCCTCCTCTTTGATGCCTTTCAGACCATTACATCCAGGTCCTCAGCTGTAAACAGAATTGTGTCACCGAGCTTGCTTCCCACCCAAGCAGAGAGAAGCCCTTTGAAGACTTCCTCCCATCTCATTATAATTATCTGCAGTTTGCCTACTATAACAGTAAGGCCTACTTTTTTCTTTTTCTGCTGCATCTGAGTAAGAAGCCAAAAGCAAGGTAGGAAGGGCTCATGGGCACTGCTTCTTCAGTACATTTGGCTTCTCCCTATGGCTCTGGGAGGCACCTGGGAGGCCATGTGACTGACCCGTTGGCAATTCATTATAAGCTGCTGGCCCCAGAAGCTGGTACCAGCAACCCAAAGACGTGGGAGAGGGAGACTCTAGGCCCTCTCTCTCTCGTCTGTTCTGCAACATTTATAATCTCATTTTGCATCTAAGTTAAGTCACAGCAAAGGCCAGGGAATAAGTACTATCATTTAAGCCAGCTCACAGAACATTTGCCAGCCCTTCCCCCTAGCTCACCAGTGCTCTCGGTGGGAGGACACAGCAAGTCAGCAGGTCTTGGCTGAGTCCCTACTGTGTGCTAAGCATTACTGCATATTCAAGAAGATAAGGTGTTTGAGGGTAGTTGAGTTGAGGGGACTAACACATGCAAACAAGGACTGGCCTGCCACAGAGGCCATCTGCTATTGTAATCTACTCCCTTACCCCTGCAATCTCCTGAAAATCCCTAGAGAAAAGATGGTGGGGAGGTGGGACTATTCCTGAAACTGGTTTAATATTGAGGACAGTATCTGAATTATTTGTGAGTTTTTGAAGATGTGGGCACACACAGGATTCTAGTTCTTTTCAATAGTAGGCAGCCCTGAGGACACTTGAGTGCCTTAAGATCAATGTTATAGCCTATGTTTATACACCATCTATTTTAACTCTTCTGCAACGTCTCCCCCAAGTCAGCAGGGCCTTGTCACTATGTCATCATTCCTTGAGCTGTGCTGACATTGAACACTAGTGATTCCTGGTGCCAGTATTAGACCCTTTCTCCTCAGATGGTTTTCTGTTTTTTTGTTTTTTGCTTCACAGTTGGGAATTATACACAGGCTGTAGAGTGTGCCAAGACCTACCTCCTCTTCTTCCCTGATGATGAGGTGATGAACCAGAATCTGGCCTACTATACAGCCATGATGGGAGAAGAACAAGCCAGAGCCATTGGCCCCCATGAGGTGAGAGCCTGGCAAGGGTTAGGGCAGCTGCCACAGCCCAGACGGGAGGACAGAGAGCAGGCAGGGGAGGGAGAGCCGGCACTGCTTGGTGGGTGGGGCGCGGAGGAAGAGCCTGGGCTGGTGAGAGCTCCCTGCCACGTTGGGCACTGGCAGAACAAGCGGCCCCAGCAAGCATGGGAGTATGCTTGGGCCTTCTCTGACACAAGTCTGTTCTTGGAGCTGGAAAATAAAAGCAGGGCTGCAAGGCAGGCACACTCCTCCCCTTATTGACCCCTACCTTGAGCCTTGACACCATTTGTCTAAGATGTCATTTTGTCCTTCATGCTGATTTTTTTTCACTCACCTGTCTTGTCTCCATTTTCCTCCCTGTCCCTTCTTTCTGCCATTGTCTGACCTCTCCCTCTTTCAACATTATTCCCATTTCACGCCAAAACAAGTAGAGAAATAATAAACATGAAGTGTGCTAAAGTGTTAACAGTGGTTAATTCTAGGTGGTGGAACATGAGTGATTTTTATATTTTGCTCATTTTTATCTTATAAATTTCCTTCAGTGAATGGATATTATTTTTGAAATTAAAAACATGAAAAGTTCTGTTTTTAACTAAATGAAATTTCATGCTGTGGACCTTGATTTGTGTATGTATGCCTTATCCAGACCCTAGACCTCTCCTTGAGCCCAGAACAATGAGGTGGATTTGAAGTCACTAGTCTGGGCTCAAGTCCAGGCCATTCTACTTATGGTTGTGTGATCTTTGGCACGTCATGTGGGATCTGAGGCATGCCGCACTGCTCCTCTGAATCTCAGTTTCTCCTTCTGTGAAATGGGATTATTCTTGCTGTGTCTTCAACGTTAGTGGGAGGGCCAGGTGAGCTAGTATAAATGCAGTCTGTAAGTCAACAGGTGAGACGCATGTGGACAGGTAGCGCCATGGAGTCTTGCTGATGGAACACAGTGGCAGGTGGCCAGTTTCCTCACCTCTGACCTCAGCCACCTCCGAGAACAGGGTGGGTACTCACTGTGGCCCTCGATCAGTGGTGTCCTGCTGCCCTCTCCCAAGCCTTGTCTACATTATGTGTAAAAATAGCTGTAACTTTGGACCAGTTTTTCATTTCGTCAAAAAAGAAAATGGTAATAGGTACAGTTACTCTACAGGCCACTCATTTGTTTATGCAGCGAATATATTGGATGAATGTAGGGCTGAGCAGGCATGGGACTGTACATTGAACTGTTCATTTAACCAACTCTACTGCCAGGGATTTGCCCCAGAGCTGGGTTGCACAAATATGAAAGGTAAACTTGCATGGATGTCCCTTGGAACATTGCTGCTAAAAGCAACAAACCGGAACCAAGCTCCATGCCATCTATTTGGGGCCTGGTTAAATGAGTTATGGTATATTCATTCAGCAACATGTAAGACAACTGTTGTATTGCATGAGTAGATTGCTATGCAACATATGAAACTGTCTCCATGATATGATTTTAGGTAAAGAAAAATTATAGAACTGTGTATTATATCCTATTTATGTTTTTTAAATAATATATATATGTATTTTTAAGTTGTAATATTACTCCTGAGGCCTATGGGTTAGGGGTGGGGAGGAAGACCTGAACATTTCTATTTGTCAATACTTCATGGATTTCTTTTCGCTGTATGTGTATTACTTTAATGTCTTTTTGAATGCTTTCTAAAACACACCTTAGACTCCGATGATACAGAAAGGTATATAATCCAAAATTTATAGAATACTGTAGTAGATGTATAGAATACTATTAGACAATGTACAGCTATAGTGGAAGCAAGGAGGAGAAGTAATCAGCTGATTGGCAAGTCAGGGAAGGTGTCAAAGAGGGAGTGGTGTTGGCATTTGGTTTTAAAAGCCTTCAGTAGGCGAATGAGGCAGAGGAGGGTCTGTTAGATGGAAAACAACATGTGAAAACAACCTGGACACTTGTCCATATAAATAGACATTGGTACTGGGGAGTAACAGGAGATGAGGTCTGGAAGGCTCAGGTTTTGAAGGGTCTTGAGTACCACACCAGGACCTTGGACTCTGTTCCATAGTGCTGACAATGTGGGCTCCCAAAGGGTCCTGACAGAATGCGGGATGTGATGGTTCAGTGCTCCAAACAGGATTCCTGTTGGGCTGTTTTGGCAATGCCTGTCCAAGGGGGAAGCTGCGAGGCCTGAGCATGGCAGCAGCTGGAAGATGGAAGCGGCTTAGGTGGAGCAAGGAGGTGGAAGTGGCAGAATGTGGCAGGAAGAGTGGCTTCCCTCCTCTTGTCAGCTAATTAGGCACCAAGCCATAGCTTGAGAGATGCAGGTATGGTGCCATCTGCCTAGATCAGTGACACACAGGAAGCATAGAAGGCTTTCTTCATAGGTCTTCTGCCTGCCCATGCTCCCACCCAGGATGACAAATTTACCCCTGTTCCCTGGAAGAAGCAGGCCAGTGATGTGGCCGCCCTTTCTGGTTGTGGTGGCGTTTACATAACCACCCCCTTCAAATGTGTGTAGCATTTTATAGGTTACAAAATTCTTCCATAGCTTTTATTTCATTTGATTCTCATAACAACCAAGGGAGGTGGGGTCACCAATCTACCCTGAAGGGGAAAACCAGGGTTGTTCCTTTTTAGCTCTGGAATCCTGGGAGTTTCCAATAGAAATAAATCTCTTGCCATCCCCTCCCCTATGACCAGTTACCTTGTAGTTGTCCTCTTTGGCCACTAGATGGTGACCATCTAGATTTGAGATAGCACTTCAATCTCTGCCTCACTGGGTTAAGACCTTTCCCCCAACCCTCCTTTTTGGTCATATTAGTGAGCCTGGAGTAGAGAGGGAAGATAAAGCCATGTGGTTAATCTTCCATTTTTAACAGGAACTCCCCTTCTGGAAATGAGGTAGCATTTGTTGAGCCCTGCGCCAGGCCAAGCACTGCGCTGGGGCGTTTACACCCATCATCTCATTTAATCCTCACAGCTTCCCTGGGAAGTGGGCACAGTTCTCCGCATTTTAGAGAGGAGAACCTTTAGGCTCCAAGAGATGAGTTAGCTGCACAGTGGCTTATGACGGGTAGCAGTGACTGGGATCTATTTCCCTGCTTTATCTTGGTGCCGAAACAGTTCCTGACACGTTGCTCATACTCACTAAGTCAGTGTTGAATGAGTAAACAGTAGAAGTGGGATTTGCTTCGTATCAGCCTCACAGAGAGGGTTAAATGAGAGAATATACTTAGCTGGATGTCTGCACTTGGTGAAGGAGGCTGATCATTTAAAGTCCTTTGGAGAAAATTTCCATCTTCCTCTTGGGTAAATATAATGGACAATATAGGACTCATTGATGCCTTTAACATTTCCCTTACCGCCTGCATCTTTTATCTCAACTAATAGTGCCTTCTCTTTCTTTTTCTTCCTTCTGCTGCTTGGAGACTAGCAAGCACATAGGGAAAGATGTGACCCTGGAAGGTACTTAGTTTCCCTGCCCTGGGTAAGCCCTACCTGTGAGCAAGTGTGGGGAAAACCAGACCCAGTTGCTCTTGCGGCAGCTGCCCATCTCCAAGAGGCATACAGGCTGCTCAGAGTCTGAGGGAGGCAGGTGGATGATAAAAGCACGTGGACTTTAGGATTGGAAAGTCCTGGCTTTGGGTAGGTCCCTGCTCTACCGTTCCCTGTAGTGTCACCTTAAGTCACATATCCTCTGAACCTTAGTGTCTTCATCTATTAAATGAGGGTAACAGTATCAACCTCAAAGGTAGCTGTACAGATTAAGTGGATAATGCATGAGTCGCCATACACCTAGGTCTCCTAGGAAGGAGTACTGAACTGTAGAAATCAAGAAGGAACTCTCCTTTGAGGCACAGTATCGTATCTCTGAGAATCATCAGATTTTCTGCCTCAGAGATTAATGAGGGGTGAAAGGGGGAGGAAGGGAGCTTTTCCTCTTCAAGAAAAACCTGGTTATGCCCCCCTCAGAGGTACTGCTCGTGCCAGGCAAAAGGAAACTTTGAGCACAGAAGTGAGAGCTTTGTCCAAAACCAGGGAACAGACAGGCCAGTGACTTGGAAGAGGAGTCTCAGGTCTCACTGGGAGTAACAGTTCAGCATGCTGGTGGGGGCACCTCAGGAGCTAGCAGACGGTGCTGAGTACAGGGCGACCCGTCCACTCTGTTCTCAGCGTGCCCAGGAGTACCGACAGCGGAGCCTGCTGGAGAAAGGGCTGCTTTTCTTCGCTTACGACATCTTTGGCATTCCCTTTGTTGATCCGGTAAGCCAGGGCGCAGGGCCGGGTGGAGAAGGGGGCAGTGGAAAGCTGTGTGACTCTGGAGAGAAAACTATTAGGGGGTTGAGCCAAATGTGGGATCCGTGAAACCCTTGGATGAGAGAGAAAGATAAAGGGGTGTCCTAGGCAGCTGGAGTGACTTCAGTTGGGAGATCTCTTGCTTTATCTCCAGAGAGGAACAGGCAATAAGGTAGATTCTCCCGTATGCCCTAGTCTAAGTGCTGAGACCCGAATAGGTCACCCTACAGTGTTAACTTCCCCCAATTTGCCTTTAGGATTCATGGACTCCAGCAGAGGTGATTCCCAAGAGATTGCAAGAGAAACAAAAGTGAGGACCTTGAAGACACTGTGAGATCAGATGGGTCTGAAGAAGCACTTGAGGCTTCCTGAGCCTGGACAGACATGACGTCCCGGCATGGGGTGGGCAGGTCCATACTGGGTGGGCCGGGCTGCCCTGGAATACAGTCCTGAGAGTGGCCGTGCTCACAGGTCAGAACGAGAAACAGCTGCCCGCATCTCCCAGGAGATTGGAGACCTCATGAAGGAGATTGAGACCCTTGTGGAGGAGAAGACCAAGGAATCGCTGGATGTGAGCAGGCTGACCCGGGAAGGTGAGAGGGCAGAGCTCGGGCTGGCCTGCAGCTGTCCCATTAGCTGGGCGGCACCAGGCTCACTGTGGGCCAGCCTCAGGGTTGAGCCCACATGGGTCAGAACATATCCTGGCCTCAGTGTCCTTCCTAACTCGCCACTAGGACTTCCACCTTGGAAGAGCCCTGGGAACTGGTGTTTGGTTAAGAAATAGGACCCCTGAGTCACAGTCACACTAGTTTAGTTCACTTAAGGTCCGTATTTATAGGACAAAACTCATCGTTTCTTGCCACTTCCAAGCTGTTTTCTCCCCGCCTCCATCATCCATCCTGATACCAAGCCTCAAAGCCTTGAGGGCTCCTTTGGTCCTCTTCCCCCTGGCCTGTCCCTCCACCCAGCCAGGGGGACCCACTGAGTATGAATCTTCTGTGTTTCTCATCTCTTTCCCCAGCCTTTTCTGTGCCCCCATTGCCTCGGGCCTGCTTCCCACCCTGGCATCTCTTCTGTTCTCACCTTTCCCCTTCCAGGCTGTCCATGCCCCTTCCCACATGATGGCAAGACCACTCTTCCAAACATGGGGACCCTGACCCATCCTCCTGGCCTGCCCTCTTACCCCCATGCTGTGCATCTCCACTGTTCATGCCTTCTCCTTGTCCACACAGGGGGACCCCGTTCCCTGAGCCTCTGTCTGCCCACATTTCTGTGCATGCTTATCCTTGCTCCTAATATGTTGCCCACTGTCGCTGCTCACCACAGTGGCCCACGTGCACCCTACAAAGCCTTTCTTAATCTCCTGGCTGGTTGGAGCCCCTCTGCCCCTCTCCTGCATGGCTGAGGCACTTTGTGTACTTCCGCAGGGTCCGTCCCACCTGATCATGGGAACAGGCGCTGTCTTCAGGGCTTCATCCCTCACCTGGCCTAGCATGGTGCCCAGCACATGCGCAGGCCTCAGTAAATAGGTGGAGTTGAATTGAGTTGCTGGTATGTCCCCAGTAGAGAGACACCATGAGAAATAGAAGAGACAGGTTGGCCTTCACAGTACAGGTGCTAAAATTAACCGTAGTTAATTTAACAAGATTGGCATGTAAAAAAGAATTTGTTCAGCATTCCTTTGTTTTCAGAGAGTTCTTGCCCTGTTGTTTCTCTGGATTCTCATAACTGCGTGGGAGGTGGGGAGGGCAGACTGTGAGATCGTCATTTGAAACATGATGACGATGATATGATAGTAGCTAAAATTTTGAGCATTTACTATATGCCAAGCTAAACTTATTTTTCTTCACATCAAACAGGCATCAAACTTTGGAGGTAGATGCTGTTTTACAGAAGAGAAAATTAAAGCTCAGGGAGGTTAAATAACTTGCCATGGTCACACAGCTAGTAAGTGAGCAGTAGATGGAGGCCCAAAAGCCAGCAACCGTTTGGGAGTGGGGCTCGGACCAGGACTTGGCTCTCCTGTCCTCTCTTCTCCAGGTTCTGTCCTCTGGACCTCCTACCTTGGGAGAACGGGAGGACAGGCAACAACAGCATTTCTTTTCCTCTCCAATGGAGAGTGGACAGAACTGCTGCTGGCTTTAGCCCAGTCTTATCTTTGCTTTGCAGGTGGCCCCCTGCTCTATGAAGGTATCAGTCTCACCATGAACTCCAGAGTCTTGAATGGTTCCCAGCGGGTGGTGATGGACGGCGTCATCTCTGATGTTGAGTGCCTGGAGCTGCAGAGACTGACCAACGTAAGGGCAGCCTTGTGGCCGCACCTTCCCCCCAAAGCCCAGGCCCCCATCCTAAGGCCTCTTAGGTGCTGAGTGTTGGCCTGCCCCTTGCTGCAGGCAGTTGTCCACTCTTCTCAGGCCCTCAGCTGCCCCAGCTAACTCCACCTGTTTTGGGGGCCTTGTAGGCAGCAGCAACTTCAGGAGACGGCTACCGGGGTCAAACCTCCCCACACACCCCCAGCGAGAAGTTCTATGGCGTCACTGTCTTCAAAGCCCTCAAGGTAGAATCAAGGCTCAGCATTCTAGAGCACGGGGAAGGGGTGAGGGGGAGCTTGGGCCTGGGGGGAGCTAGGTGTCTGCCTGCCTGTCAGCATTCCAGCTGCACTGGGGGAGGATAAATTACATTGAGTGAGGTTAAGCTCTGAATCCCGGCTGTTAGACCAAGTGTCATTAGGATGAGGTAAGCTGGACAAGACAGACACCCAAAGCTGTGAGAGTGTTTCTGAAGAATGGCTGTACTTCTGAGCAGGATCATAAAGGGAACTAATAATAATATGGTAGGTGTGTTTGTGGGGGGACAGACTGCACCTTTGGTGGGGGGTTGAAGATGGGGCCCAGTCCCTCCGGGGTCTCTGTCGGCCCACAGAGGGGCATTCGGGGCAGCTGACCCCTGGTCTGTCTCCTTGGCAGCTGGGACAGGAAGGGAAAGTCCCTCTGCAGAGCGCCCACCTGTACTACAATGTGACAGAGAAGGTGCGGCGCGTCATGGAGTCCTACTTCCGCCTGGACGCCCCCCTGTACTTCTCCTACTCCCACCTGGTGTGCCGCACTGCGATTGAAGGTGGGCCTTCTCCGCCCTGCAGCTTTCACTGCCACACATGCTGTGCCCGGGCATTGGCCGGATGCTCTGAACACGGAAGAGAACAGGATATGGTCCTGTTCACCCTTGTCAGGGAACCAACACAACAGATAAGTGCAGCGGAGGAAGTTACAGTTAGTCCACCCAAGGAGTCCGGAGGGCTTCTCAGGAGATGCTGACAGTGTGCAGGATGAATAGGAGTTGTGGAGTGCGTGGGGTGATGGGAGGATGTTCCCACCCAAGAGAAGAGCACGTGCAGAGGAATGGAGGCACTGAGCAGCCTGGTAGCTGGGGGAGCTAAGAAAGTTGCCGTTTCTGGAGAGTAAGTTTAAAGAGGGGAGCAATTGCATACGGCTGGTGTGAGGGCCTCAGAGGCCACAACATGGAGGGCCACGTTCAGGAGTTTGTTTTTCATCCTGCAGGCCAGTGGTTCTCAACAACAATCATGAGCTGTGTTGCCAGCTCTCTGTCACTAATTGTTAAATACCAAAGTTGTAAGAGATCTACTTATTTTCCCAGTCAGAACATATTTGAGGTTATTCCTTGTTGACTTTCCCTCTCTCACTTTCTCTCGTGCTTTCCTGAGGAGGGATGAGGTACAGTCAGTGCTCCAAGAGTCACACATGGCCCGCGGCGGGATCTGTCATGCCTTAACCTTCAGTCTCTGGCCCTGACAGGGGGAGGAGATTAGAGGGCTTTCCTCTCCCTCAGAACGTTTGGAGTTCTGTCAAATCTGGGCACACCCAAAGGAGTATGTCAGACACACAACTGATACAGGTCACAGTGCCTCAAGGTGCAGGGATGGGAAGCCAGGGTGAGTTATCAAGCAGGAAGGACTTGGTGAGGCCTGTGTGTTTGCAAGATCAGTTTTGCCAAGGTGTGTGAAGAGATTCAGAGAGTGAGGAGCAAACCAGAGGAAGGGAAGCTGGTCAGCAGTGACCTCGGTGGGTGAAAACAAAGGCCTAAACTCAGCAAGTGGCAATGGGAGTGGACAGCAAAAAGACATGAGGGAGGTGCATGCAGAGGGACAGGTCCTGCTCATTGGCTGAACAAGTGGCGACAGACGGGAGGGCTCTACTGTGGCTTGGTGTCCCCAGCCACTCAAGTGCGCAGGAGTTTGTGGTGGGGGACGATGCATTCAGTGTCATGCACATGGGTGTGCCTGGCATTTTACAGCAAGCCCTGTCTGCCCTCTTGTGTGACCTTCATCCTGCTTGACTTCTCCACACACCCCACCCCAGGCCCCTGCTGCAGCTAACTCCTTATTTGCCCTTCATGCCATCCTTACCTTTACTCCTACTGGTATATTGGGTCTCACTGTACCCTGCCTGCATCCCACTGACCTTCTGACCCCTCTTTTTCACTTCCTTGGGGATTAACCCTCTTTTATGAATTCTAGCTGGGAAGCCAGGGCTGCATCCTTCAGCCCAGGGTCTGCCCTTGGTTGGAACCTCACAGCCCTGCTTGCTGCACATGCTCATCCCTCTAAGAACCTTCCCAGGCCTGCAGATTAATCCTGACCCCTAGGCTGATGGCTTAGCCAGAGATCCCCCAGTTCATTGCCCATTCCCACAGACCCAGATGCATTTTGGGAAGCCCCCCCACCATGTCAACAGGAAAGCTGTCGTCTGAGGTGCCCCAGTGCTAACGTGTTACTTTGACTCCAGAGGCACAGGCTGAGAGGAAGGACAGCAGCCACCCTGTCCATGTGGACAACTGCATCCTGAACGCGGAGGCCCTCGTGTGCATCAAGGAACCCCCTGCCTACACTTTCCGGGACTACAGGTGCCAGCTCTTCCAGGGCGCCCCTTGCCCCTCCCCCAGCACACACACACAGGTTTGGGGCCAACTGTCCCCAGAGTCCAGTCCCTTATCCCCAGACCTTCTGCACAGGAAGTCAGATAAAAGGGGAAGCAGTACAGTGTAGTGGGATCAGTAGGACAGTGAACGACAGAGGTGGTACAGAAGTGCCCCAGAGGAGGACGTGGCAGAGTCTCTGGGGGGAGCTAGTGGGTCTGGAAGGTGGGGACTCATGCTTGTGTGCCCTTTGAGCAACTTTCTTCTGTGAAAGGCCCCCTCCAACTGCCAGTCAAGAGCACTTGGCGATGATGGCACTGGAGCTGTGGGTCTGGGGAGCGGGAGGAGGAGGAGGTCCGAGTCGAGATGCCATCTGCCTTTCCCAGCGCCATTCTTTATCTAAACGGAGACTTCGATGGAGGAGACTTCTATTTCACTGAGCTAGATGCCAAGACCGTGACGGTGAGCACCTTTGCCCCTGTCCCTGGGAGACAAGCCCTCATGGTGCAGAGGGCAGGGTGGCCCTTGGTCTTCGTGGTGGCCACCAGGGCTCCCCTCCCCACACCACGGAGCTCTGAGATGTATCACTTGCTTGTCTGACTGGTAACCTTTCTCATCAGCGCTGGTCTTTGGGAAGCCAGGCTAAGGAACCACCCGCTGTCCTGGGCCCTCATGACCCCACGCCTTTTCTGAAGGCGGGTTACAGTCTCTGTCCCAAGTACTTGCTCTGTGTCCCCTTCAGGCAGAGGTGCAGCCCCGGTGTGGAAGGGCAGTAGGCTTCTCTTCGGGCACAGAAAACCCGCATGGAGTGAAGGCCGTCACCAGGGGGCAGCGCTGTGCCATCGCCCTGTGGTTCACCTTGGACGCCCGACACAGTGAGCGGGTGAGAGCGCCAGTGCGGGGCGCTAGTTCCGCCCCCACTTTCCCATCCCGTGGCCCACGGCTGAGACATGAACAGAGGGGAGCACTGGGCACGGGAGCCAGAGAGCCTCATGGCTCCAGCACTGTGTCACCAGGCTCACGTGGCCTCGGCCTCCTCACCCTTCTGCCTTACTTGTAATTGGGGTTCCAGGTGTGGGGCCGAGATGGGGAATGAGACTGGTCCTTGGTTCCCTGGTTGGGCACCACCTCAGCTGTCTTTGCCCAGAGAGCAGGGCCTCCCTGGAAGGAGAGCAGCTCAGAGCCCATTGAGGAAGAGCCTTCTTGTTCTCCAGGAAGCAGCACCCGTGAGAAGGTGAGTGCAAAAAGAATTTGTTCAGCATTCCTTTGTTTTCAGAGAGTTCTTGCCCTGTTGTTTCTCTGGATTCTCATAACTGCGTGGGAGGTGGGGAGGGCAGACTGTGAGATCGTCATTTGAAACATGATGACGATGATATGATAGTAGCTAAAATTTTGAGCATTTACTATATGCCAAGCTAAACTTATTTTTCTTCACATCAAACAGGCATCAAACTTTGGAGGTAGATGCTGTTTTACAGAAGAGAAAATTAAAGCTCAGGGAGGTTAAATAACTTGCCATGGTCACACAGCTAGTAAGTGAGCAGTAGATGGAGGCCCAAAAGCCAGCAACCGTTTGGGAGTGGGGCTCGGACCAGGACTTGGCTCTCCTGTCCTCTCTTCTCCAGGTTCTGTCCTCTGGACCTCCTACCTTGGGAGAACGGGAGGACAGGCAACAACAGCATTTCTTTTCCTCTCCAATGGAGAGTGGACAGAACTGCTGCTGGCTTTAGCCCAGTCTTATCTTTGCTTTGCAGGTGGCCCCCTGCTCTATGAAGGTATCAGTCTCACCATGAACTCCAGAGTCTTGAATGGTTCCCAGCGGGTGGTGATGGACGGCGTCATCTCTGATGTTGAGTGCCTGGAGCTGCAGAGACTGACCAACGTAAGGGCAGCCTTGTGGCCGCACCTTCCCCCCAAAGCCCAGGCCCCCATCCTAAGGCCTCTTAGGTGCTGAGTGTTGGCCTGCCCCTTGCTGCAGGCAGTTGTCCACTCTTCTCAGGCCCTCAGCTGCCCCAGCTAACTCCACCTGTTTTGGGGGCCTTGTAGGCAGCAGCAACTTCAGGAGACGGCTACCGGGGTCAAACCTCCCCACACACCCCCAGCGAGAAGTTCTATGGCGTCACTGTCTTCAAAGCCCTCAAGGTAGAATCAAGGCTCAGCATTCTAGAGCACGGGGAAGGGGTGAGGGGGAGCTTGGGCCTGGGGGGAGCTAGGTGTCTGCCTGCCTGTCAGCATTCCAGCTGCACTGGGGGAGGATAAATTACATTGAGTGAGGTTAAGCTCTGAATCCCGGCTGTTAGACCAAGTGTCATTAGGATGAGGTAAGCTGGACAAGACAGACACCCAAAGCTGTGAGAGTGTTTCTGAAGAATGGCTGTACTTCTGAGCAGGATCATAAAGGGAACTAATAATAATATGGTAGGTGTGTTTGTGGGGGGACAGACTGCACCTTTGGTGGGGGGTTGAAGATGGGGCCCAGTCCCTCCGGGGTCTCTGTCGGCCCACAGAGGGGCATTCGGGGCAGCTGACCCCTGGTCTGTCTCCTTGGCAGCTGGGACAGGAAGGGAAAGTCCCTCTGCAGAGCGCCCACCTGTACTACAATGTGACAGAGAAGGTGCGGCGCGTCATGGAGTCCTACTTCCGCCTGGACGCCCCCCTGTACTTCTCCTACTCCCACCTGGTGTGCCGCACTGCGATTGAAGGTGGGCCTTCTCCGCCCTGCAGCTTTCACTGCCACACATGCTGTGCCCGGGCATTGGCCGGATGCTCTGAACACGGAAGAGAACAGGATATGGTCCTGTTCACCCTTGTCAGGGAACCAACACAACAGATAAGTGCAGCGGAGGAAGTTACAGTTAGTCCACCCAAGGAGTCCGGAGGGCTTCTCAGGAGATGCTGACAGTGTGCAGGATGAATAGGAGTTGTGGAGTGCGTGGGGTGATGGGAGGATGTTCCCACCCAAGAGAAGAGCACGTGCAGAGGAATGGAGGCACTGAGCAGCCTGGTAGCTGGGGGAGCTAAGAAAGTTGCCGTTTCTGGAGAGTAAGTTTAAAGAGGGGAGCAATTGCATACGGCTGGTGTGAGGGCCTCAGAGGCCACAACATGGAGGGCCACGTTCAGGAGTTTGTTTTTCATCCTGCAGGCCAGTGGTTCTCAACAACAATCATGAGCTGTGTTGCCAGCTCTCTGTCACTAATTGTTAAATACCAAAGTTGTAAGAGATCTACTTATTTTCCCAGTCAGAACATATTTGAGGTTATTCCTTGTTGACTTTCCCTCTCTCACTTTCTCTCGTGCTTTCCTGAGGAGGGATGAGGTACAGTCAGTGCTCCAAGAGTCACACATGGCCCGCGGCGGGATCTGTCATGCCTTAACCTTCAGTCTCTGGCCCTGACAGGGGGAGGAGATTAGAGGGCTTTCCTCTCCCTCAGAACGTTTGGAGTTCTGTCAAATCTGGGCACACCCAAAGGAGTATGTCAGACACACAACTGATACAGGTCACAGTGCCTCAAGGTGCAGGGATGGGAAGCCAGGGTGAGTTATCAAGCAGGAAGGACTTGGTGAGGCCTGTGTGTTTGCAAGATCAGTTTTGCCAAGGTGTGTGAAGAGATTCAGAGAGTGAGGAGCAAACCAGAGGAAGGGAAGCTGGTCAGCAGTGACCTCGGTGGGTGAAAACAAAGGCCTAAACTCAGCAAGTGGCAATGGGAGTGGACAGCAAAAAGACATGAGGGAGGTGCATGCAGAGGGACAGGTCCTGCTCATTGGCTGAACAAGTGGCGACAGACGGGAGGGCTCTACTGTGGCTTGGTGTCCCCAGCCACTCAAGTGCGCAGGAGTTTGTGGTGGGGGACGATGCATTCAGTGTCATGCACATGGGTGTGCCTGGCATTTTACAGCAAGCCCTGTCTGCCCTCTTGTGTGACCTTCATCCTGCTTGACTTCTCCACACACCCCACCCCAGGCCCCTGCTGCAGCTAACTCCTTATTTGCCCTTCATGCCATCCTTACCTTTACTCCTACTGGTATATTGGGTCTCACTGTACCCTGCCTGCATCCCACTGACCTTCTGACCCCTCTTTTTCACTTCCTTGGGGATTAACCCTCTTTTATGAATTCTAGCTGGGAAGCCAGGGCTGCATCCTTCAGCCCAGGGTCTGCCCTTGGTTGGAACCTCACAGCCCTGCTTGCTGCACATGCTCATCCCTCTAAGAACCTTCCCAGGCCTGCAGATTAATCCTGACCCCTAGGCTGATGGCTTAGCCAGAGATCCCCCAGTTCATTGCCCATTCCCACAGACCCAGATGCATTTTGGGAAGCCCCCCCACCATGTCAACAGGAAAGCTGTCGTCTGAGGTGCCCCAGTGCTAACGTGTTACTTTGACTCCAGAGGCACAGGCTGAGAGGAAGGACAGCAGCCACCCTGTCCATGTGGACAACTGCATCCTGAACGCGGAGGCCCTCGTGTGCATCAAGGAACCCCCTGCCTACACTTTCCGGGACTACAGGTGCCAGCTCTTCCAGGGCGCCCCTTGCCCCTCCCCCAGCACACACACACAGGTTTGGGGCCAACTGTCCCCAGAGTCCAGTCCCTTATCCCCAGACCTTCTGCACAGGAAGTCAGATAAAAGGGGAAGCAGTACAGTGTAGTGGGATCAGTAGGACAGTGAACGACAGAGGTGGTACAGAAGTGCCCCAGAGGAGGACGTGGCAGAGTCTCTGGGGGGAGCTAGTGGGTCTGGAAGGTGGGGACTCATGCTTGTGTGCCCTTTGAGCAACTTTCTTCTGTGAAAGGCCCCCTCCAACTGCCAGTCAAGAGCACTTGGCGATGATGGCACTGGAGCTGTGGGTCTGGGGAGCGGGAGGAGGAGGAGGTCCGAGTCGAGATGCCATCTGCCTTTCCCAGCGCCATTCTTTATCTAAACGGAGACTTCGATGGAGGAGACTTCTATTTCACTGAGCTAGATGCCAAGACCGTGACGGTGAGCACCTTTGCCCCTGTCCCTGGGAGACAAGCCCTCATGGTGCAGAGGGCAGGGTGGCCCTTGGTCTTCGTGGTGGCCACCAGGGCTCCCCTCCCCACACCACGGAGCTCTGAGATGTATCACTTGCTTGTCTGACTGGTAACCTTTCTCATCAGCGCTGGTCTTTGGGAAGCCAGGCTAAGGAACCACCCGCTGTCCTGGGCCCTCATGACCCCACGCCTTTTCTGAAGGCGGGTTACAGTCTCTGTCCCAAGTACTTGCTCTGTGTCCCCTTCAGGCAGAGGTGCAGCCCCGGTGTGGAAGGGCAGTAGGCTTCTCTTCGGGCACAGAAAACCCGCACGGAGTGAAGGCCGTCACCAGGGGGCAGCGCTGTGCCATCGCCCTGTGGTTCACCTTGGACGCCCGACACAGTGAGCGGGTGAGAGCGCCAGTGCGGGGCGCTAGTTCCGCCCCCACTTTCCCATCCCGTGGCCCACGGCTGAGACATGAACAGAGGGGAGCACTGGGCACGGGAGCCAGAGAGCCTCATGGCTCCAGCACTGTGTCACCAGGCTCACGTGGCCTCGGCCTCCTCACCCTTCTGCCTTACTTGTAATTGGGGTTCCAGGTGTGGGGCCGAGATGGGGAATGAGACTGGTCCTTGGTTCCCTGGTTGGGCACCACCTCAGCTGTCTTTGCCCAGAGAGCAGGGCCTCCCTGGAAGGAGAGCAGCTCAGAGCCCATTGAGGAAGAGCCTTCTTGTTCTCCAGGAAGCAGCACCCGTGAGAAGGTGAGTGCCTGCTCTGAAGGCCTCTCAATAGGCAAGGGCTTGTCCTTGCAGGACAGGGTGCAGGCAGACGACCTAGTAAAGATGCTCTTCAGCCCAGAAGAGATAGTCCTCCCCCAGGAGCAGCCCCAGGAAGGCCAGGAGGGCCCCACGCGACCGGGAGAGGAGCCTCTGTCTGGCAGCACATCAGGGCACAAGGATGAGCTCTGACAGTGTCCAGCTCACTGTGGGCAGGTGACCTGACCCACCAGGAGGACCCCTGGCCTGCACCCTGGGCTGGCCAGCCCCGGGCTGTGGAGCAGAAGAGAACCTACATCTGCTGCTCAGCTGAGGGGACCTTGCCCACAGCCGTCTGCACGGTGCTACTGCTCTAACAGTGGATATGGCAGGATGGCCCTCTCCCCTTTGGACTTGGGTGAGGGCTCAGGACACAGGCCCAGAGCCACCCCTGGGGCCCTGCACAGGCAGCCGCGTGACAACACTACAGTATTTAAGTGTCTGTGTAGACAACCAAAGAATAAATGATTCATGTTTTTTTACTCAGTAGTTTGTTCAGAGAGGAAAAACAGGCCCACCTGACTCAGAGTTCTCACTTGATACAGATTGCTCAGGGCATGGTGCAAGAAGCCCTGACTCAGCACCCTGCTTAACTACTTTCTGTGCAGCCTCAGGCTGGACACTTAGCCTTGGGGACCTCGGGGTTGTCATCTGTATATTAGGGACCGCAGTCCTCGCTCTGCCTGCCTCCCAGGCAGTTGTGGGGCCTACGCTGAACATCGGATCTGACAGCACTGTAAACAGGAGTGCTGCGCGTGAATGGTAAGGATTATGATTCATCCCCCTCGGCAGCTACCAGCAGGTAAGCAGCATTCTGGCGTGTTTCTGCCGCATCAGCCACATGCATCCTGCTCTGCCCTCTGGCTTCAGAGCCCCCACACCTCAGGGCCTCTGTGTGCAGAACAACACACACCTCTAGTAGACAGAGAGCAGGCAGAACAGGAGCTGCAGCTCCTCTGGCCACCAGCCCATCACTTCTCCTGGGCTTTGAGATGGGTGGGCCGATGGTTTGGGAACCTGAACCCTGAGTGCTCATTTATGCAATCAACAGGTATTTATGTCTTGAGCACCAGCTCAGTGCTTGGCGTGGAGAAATGGTAGCAACACAAGCCCCGGCCTCACAGAGCTTACGTTGTAGTAGGGCAGACAGTGGATAAGTGAGTGTGTGAAATCCTCTGGGGTAGAAAAGGAGGCAAGTCAGATGCTGAGACAGTGGGAGCAGTAAGGCGGCCGCCGGGGCAGTACAGAGTGCAGGGGAGCAGCCATGGAGGTCAGACTCGTCGGCCACGGCCTCTGTGACTGCTCGCCTTTGACACATGAGGTAGGAGCCCTGGCAGGGTTTTGAACAGAGGAGTGAGGCATCCGACTGAGATTCTAAAGGCCTCAGTGGAGAATGTATGTGGAGAATGGGCCATGGGGCAGGAATGGGGCCAGGGAGAGCAGGGCGCAGGTGGCGGCAGCAGCCCCCAAGGGAGACGAAGGTGGTGGGCCAGGCGCAGGCAGTGAAGGTAGTGGAAAAGGTTAAGTTCTGGGTCGTTTTTAAAAGTAGAACCAATAGGAATTGCTGATGGATTGGATGGTATGAAAAAAAGGAACATTAAGGATTCCAGCCTCAGCAGCTGGCAAGATGGAGCCACGCTTCCTGAGAATGGCAAGATGGCAGGAGGGATGGCAGGAGGGGCGTGGAAACCAGCAGCATGGTTTTGTGTGTGGAGCTGTCTTCCAGCTTAGGAAGCAGCTGTTCCTTCACTCCGCATCTCCTCCAGCTCGTCTTTCTGCCCCCACGCAGAGCCACACTCCTGGGTTAGCGTGGTCTGTACCCGCCATCACTTCTCCCTCCCTTCTCACTTGTATCGCACCGGCCTGTCCTTTGTCCACACCGCCTCACCAAAACATCTCTTGCCAGAGTTCTCACTGATCTCCAGGTTGCCTAATCCAAAAGCGGATTCTTGGTCGTTATCTTGTCCAACCTCTCAGTAGCATCTGACAGCACTGCTCACGCCCTCCTTCGTGAGATGCTTTCCTCAGCTTCCAGAACCATCCCTCTCGGTTCCTCTGCTCACACCGGCCCCGCTGTCTGCTTGGATCCCACTGTCCTCCAGGCCCCCGTTGCCCCAGCTAGGCTCAGTCTTCTGACTCTTCCTCTGCCACACTGACCTCAGTCTCCTGGCTGTGAGCCCCACCCGTGTGCCAGTGATGGCCCCCCAAGTTGCCGCCCCTACCACCACCTCTCCCTGAACTCCACACTCAATCCCTGACTGCCTACTTGATATCTCTGCTCAGATGCCTTACAGGTTCCTCAGTGTGGAAACCACACTGCTGGTTTCTGCGCCCCTCACCGTCCCTCCTGCCATCTTGCCAGTCTCAGGAAGCGTGGCTCCATGTTCCCAGCTGCTTAGGCTGGAATCCCTGATGTTCCTTTTCTCGTACCGTCCAATCCGTCAGCAGCACGGGGCAGTCACTATTCCTTTAGGCACTGTGCCCCACTGGGTGACCCACTCACCATACAGGGAGAGGCCCCATTGATGGGAAGAACGTGAGCTTCATCCACATGCTCATCTGGCAGGAGTCTTGCTTCCACCATCTGGGGTTGCATGACCTCCGAGTGTGATTCCACACCAGTAATATGGGATTACAGTCTTCACTTCGCAGGACAGCTGAGCATGTTAATAAGGGAATACTCAAAAAGCACCTGGCATGATGCTTAGCACATAGTAGATATGCATTACAGAAAACACTATCAGCCTGATTCTGGTCTTTCCAGAATTTTCCACATCAAGGAAGATGACCTTTACAATTGCAATGTATGCTAACCACATAGAGATGGCAGACAGTCTCAGGTTAGGTCATGAAATTCCATGTTTTCAATGGCAACAGAACCGAGGTATGTAAATAGGGTGGGTGAGTCATCCCAGAAGCAGGAAGTGATGGCAGGGTCCAGGCCGAGGTGTGGCTGTGATGGCTTGGACCGTGTTTGCAATGCATGTACAAGGATGTCAGCCATGGGGGAAGTTTGCTGGAGATGCAGGGAGGGCTCCAAGGGAACATCAAAGGCGATTCGGGTGGAAGATGTCAGTCTCCAGCTCCAGGGCGCTTGGGATCAGGGAGAAGAGGACACCTCCCTGGTTAGTCCTGGGATACAAAAATGAGGCTGGTAGTAGGGCCTCAAGGTGCTTGCAGTCCCCAGGAAAGAGGCAACATGCCACATGCTGTGAATGGAAATGCACAAAGAGCATTACAGGATCTCAAATCAGGGTGCTTGACCCCTCCTGGGTGGGCAGGACAGCCAGGGGTGGTCACAGTGCTGGCTGCACTGCTTTCTAGCTGTGTGGCCTGAGGCAGGTCCTCTCCTTTTGAGCCTGTAGTTCCATAGGAAAGTCAGACCCTGAGTTGCAGGGGAGTAGGACCAGCTCCAGCTCCTGAGCCTCCAGTGTTTCAGGGATGGCTGCAGAGAATGGGCTGGGTGGCAACCAGCTGAATCAGACCTCCCAGCGGGCAGCAGGAGAGGACGGGGGAAAGGGCTGCTGTATTTCACTGGGAGGGAGGCAAAAACATTTAATCCTCATACCAAGCAGTCCATGACCAACACATGCCTCCTGAGCACCGCTCTTGGCCAGGCACTGCCAGGCAGCATGTGGCAGTGTGTCTACAGCCTCAGGCACTCTGCCCACACCCAGGATGACGGGCACAGGGGAAGGCCCACCCAGGAGGGAGTCCTTTTGGAATAGAGCTCTCCTAGCCACATTTCTTCAGACATGTTATGTTTTCCAAAAGCATTTCTCACCCATAATTCGATCCTTGTAAATTCTCATAAGCCACTCAGGGCAAGTGGTACTACCCCTCTTATTCAACTGAGGGCCAGAGAGGCTCAGGGACTTCCTAATGGCACACAGCTTTTCAGTGGGAGCAAAGCTAGAACCCTAAGCTGCTTGTGGGTGAAAGCACTTTTTAAATAGTGACATGTGACACCCCAGGGCAATTTCTAATTAGCTCTTAATGGAGGCTGGGTGGGACCCTAAGCCACCCTGCCCTCTGCTCATGCGTGGGAGCCACTGGCCTGCAGGGGGCTGCTGGGGGTGGTAGCAGCCTGGGTGGAGAAGCTACACACGGTTAGGGAGCTCCATTCCAAGTCTTTGGACCATTGGAAAGGGAAGGCAATCAGGATGGGGGAGAGTATTTTGGTAGAATAGACTCAACACCTCAAATAACAGAGAGAAGGGAGAAACAGAAGATCTCCCGAAGGCGATGTGAGCATCACTCCCGCCCCCGCTGTGGCTGTGGGTCCCCAGCACATGGCGGGCTTCAGGGTCCCCAGGATGGAGGGGTGCACATGCCCGATACCAGGCAGCCGCCTGGCCCTGAGCGCCTCACTATCCCTCTTTGGCTCTCAGCTCCCTCATTTTTCAACAGAGGAGACTGCAGAACAGGATCCTGAGGACCTGTGTGGTTCTGACACTCTGTTACCGTGTGGCCTTGGAGATCCCACAGCTCAGAGCCCTGCCCCAGATGCTGCTTGGGGTCAGAATGACCCCCGGATCTTCCTTACAGAGAGAGCTCCTGCAGAAGGCGGTGGAGGGGGGTGGGGGCAGGACCCAGCTTGGAGAGAGAGCTGGCCTGGCCTCGGGGGATAACCTGAGCCAGTGGCTGCATGTGCAGGCCCCCCGCCTGCCCTCAGACGTGGATCAGCTCCGAGTGTTAAACGGGGGGGCATTGTGTATTTTCCTTGGTTCTCCCCACCACAGCAAAGAACTGAAGGGCAGAGATGCAGTAGTGAAGCAGAGTAGAAGTTTTATTTAAAGTGACTTAAAGAGAGAAAATGTGCAGGTGACCTCAGGTAGGAGAGGTGCCTTGAAAGGTTTAAGTTTTATTTAAAGAGAGAAAGTGCACACTCAGAGAAAGGGGAGCATGAGCTACTTCAGAGAGAAGCACACTGAAAGATTGGGGGTTCCCCCTTTTAAGGGTTTTTCAGGTATGTGACAAAGGGCTAGGGGTGTGGACTTGTTAAGTGGTCTCAAGATGTTTATTTTATCTTTGATGAGCTATTAAGTTTCTTAGCAGTCCTCCAGGTAGTTCTGCAAAATTAACATAAGAAAATTCACTGCTCTGGTCCCCTCCCAGGATTGCAGCTTCCTAGTTTGGGAGCATATCAATTAAGACAGCCTGCCCTGCCTCCAGCGTGGGCTGACTTGTCTGTTTGCTAAAGAGTCTGTTAAGAATCTTACTTCTTAACTTCGTGGGTTTTTTAAAATGCAATTTTAGCTCTACGGTGGAATCTTCCTGTTTTTATTATGCTGTTCATAGCTGGGCCTTTTCGCGAGTAAATCTTACAATGGCATGATCTAATTGACACAATGAAGACATGGGCTGTGCTCAGATACTTTTCTTTATCTGGGGAATATTCAAACATTCAAGGCCAAGTTGCTCCTAACCTTTTGAGCTTTAACGGATTAACTCTTAACTCTGAGTCTTTTCTGTCTTTCTAGTTTTAACTGGTCAATTTTGAGTCCTTTCTAGTGGGCCTCACTGACCTTATTCTCTTTCCACCCAGCTCATGTCTATTTTCCTGCCTAACACGAGGACCACTACAACTCCAGTGAAGCAGACATACCCGTTAAGAGGCGGGGATGCAGGCCCCACACTAGCTCAGGTGTGACCCCTAGGGAGCACTCAGGACTGCCCCGCCCTCCCAGTCCCCCGAGAGAGGCAGGCAGGGGTGCGAGGCGAACATGGCATTAGGGCTCAGGTCTGATGGGAAGGCCTCCCCTGCCGCTTCTAGCTTGGGGTGAGTTACCTCTCTCAGCCTCAGCTCCTTATCAGTGAAGGGCCACCGTGGGGTGAGGCAGTTAATGTGCAAAAAGGGTGTTCACTGTGTCCCCCCATGTCTCTGCTCCCCTTGATCATACTGTCTTGGAGTTGTCTGTGGCAGAAGAGGAATCTGAACTCAGGGCTGCCACCTCTTCAAGTGTTCTAGGCCCTGTCTGAGTTTGGAGCCCCTCGGTCCATCCCAGGACGCAGGTCTGTCTGTATGCAGATCTGTGTGGCTCTGGCCTTCCCAGCAAGGAGGGAGCCCGTGTTTGGAAATGCAGGCTAAATAGCTCCCACCCTTGACCCCTCAGAGGGCAGACCATTCCCCCAGCTCCCAGCTGGACTGGAGCTCAGGACATACCAGGGGCCCACGCCTCGGGTGGACACACAGGGCAGCCATTGTGTGCACAGTGCCTGGCACCCGCTCGTTTGCATAGCCACGTGAAGAATGTGAGAGAGCAGGCTGGAGACATGTCCCTGCAGAAGAGGGCCTGGGTTGTGGGTGAGGAAGCCAGTGGTGGTGCGGGGTGGGGAGGTGGGGTTACTAGCAGGACCCTGCCTTCCCCAGCCCAGTCCGGGAAAGGCGAGTGGGCCACTGGAATGGAGGGGGCAGTAAAGGGGCTGGCAAGAGTGGGAGCAGGATTGTGACCTTTTCCCCTGCACCCATACCTGGTGGAGCCATGGGGCCAAACTGAACGTGAGGGGATTGCTAATAAGGTGGAGGAGAGTTAAACATTCCCTGCACCAGAGGGCTCAGCTAGAAGGAGGAGGTGGGCATGAGGTGTGGCGCTAGGCAGGAACAGCCTGAACCCCAGGAATGTGGTCTGGAGCTGGGGGCCAGGGCCCAGTGCCTCAGGCCCCAGCGAGAGCTGCTAAGCCAGCCAGCCAGAGGATTAACAGGGCTGAACAGCTTGCCTTCCTTCAGGCTGATGCCAGAAGGTCAGCATTATTCCCCACCTCCCTGGCCAGGCCCCTTGCTGGCTGGCAGCCAGGTCTGGCTCAGGCTTGATGGGGTCCCTTTTCTGTCCCCTTCAGATCTCAGACCCCCAGTGCATAGTCCCTGGTCTGACCGCCCCCCACCCCCCGTTCTTCATACACATGTTCCCCAGCTACCCGGAAACCCCTTTCCTGAGAACCCCCTCTCCAGCCCAGTCTCTCCACATCTGGCTTCAGAGCCCTCTCAAAAAAGTTCTCTCTGACGTTTAACTCTAGTCTTCGCTGCTGCGAATTGGAATTTCAGAGAACAGAAAACCCCAAGGGCCAGATCAGCCATGCAGTAGCAGTCTGTCATCTCAGGGCTGGTGCTTGGGGTAGGAATTCAAATTTTAGGGCACTTGCATCAGGTTCTTAAAGGGGTTTCCCTGGCAGAAAGGCCCTGCTGGCAAGCAGATGCTCCTCCCAGCCCCTCCCTTCCCTATCCCTGGGGGCGGGGCAAGAGCACCCACCTGGGTCCTGGTCCCGCCTCCCACCCCCAGGGGGCTGGGCAGGAGCTTTGCTGGGGACCCTGCCCAGCGTAGGCTGCAGCTGCGGGCGGGCCCTGGCCTTTCCAGCCCCCGGCCTCCCCCTGCATTCTAGAGCTTGGCGCTGCCGCGTTGGCTGCTGGAGCTGCCGGACTTCCACCTCTCCTTCCTTCTCAGCCTCGACCACTCGCTGCGCTCCCAGCCCCCACCCAGCAGCTCCTCGCACCGGGCCATGGCCCCAGGGCCCCTGGCCCAGCGCTGAGCCCTGGGACCTCCAGTCCCCTCCTTGGGCCATGGCCAACTCGGGCCTTCAGCTCCTGGGCTACTTCCTGGCTCTGGGTGGCTGGGTGGGCATCATCGCCAGCACAGCCCTCCCGCAGTGGAAGCAGTCCTCCTACGCGGGTGACGCCATCATTACTGCCGTAGGCCTCTATGAAGGACTCTGGATGTCCTGTGCCTCCCAGAGCACTGGTCAGGTGCAGTGCAAGCTCTATGACTCGCTGCTCGCCCTGGAAGGTAGGCCTCATGCCAGCTGGGTTGGGGAGGTGGGATATAGGGGATGGGGGAGGTCCAGAGCCATCTGCACTAGGCTCCACCCTCCAGCCCCCTGCCCCCTGTGCACTTTGGAACCTCCAGGCCAGCCTGGTGCCCTGCTGGGGGCAGGGCTCTAGGTTCAGGCAGCCATGGGTCCAGATCACAGCTCTGCCACTGTAACCTTGAAGGTGTCACCACCCCTCACTGTGTTCTGATGTCATCGTCTGTAAAGGGGAGTCTGTGACTTTTACAGGACTGTGGGAGCGTTAGATGAGATGAGCACCTGGTCCTCAGAAAGGCTCAGTCCTTCCTTCCTTCCTCTTCTCCCACACTCTGTATGCAGACATGCTGCACACACATACCTACTACCAGCCCTGCCACCCAGACAAATAAACCCACATTTGGATGTGCCTACACACACACACACACACACACACACACACACACTCATGTGCTCACACAGGCACATATATGTGCACACAGGTGCTTGGGTCAACAGTCCCCTCTCTTCCTCCTGGGATGTGGACTTGAGCCTGACGGTTGGGCTCATAGACAGGCACACTGCAGCTGCGTCCCTGGCTGGGGGCTGACCTGCCCGCCCTCTGCCCAGTGCCCTGCAGTCCTAAGTCAGGCCGTTAGCACATGGCTCCCCACCTCCATCCAAGCTGGTCTTCCAGCTTCCCTCAGGGACCCAGACCCTCTGAGCTGCCCCCAGGCCCAGAGCTGCCCCAAGTGGCAGGCAAATGGCTGCAATGGGTGAGTCAGAGGAGAGAGGGCAAGGTGACCAGCATCAGAAGGGCGTGTGTGGGAGGCGTCTCCACCTGAGAGCCAACCTGGGCTGAGCCTCGGACACCCACGGCTCCTCCTGCCTCCTTCTGATCTGAGAGGCCCCAGGAGGAGCTGCCCGCTACCCAGCAGCTTGGAAGGGGTGGGCCAGGCCCAGAGGGGAGTCCCCAGCCAGAAAGCAGCAGGTGAGAGAACTGAGACCGCCCCTCACCACACACAGCCAGAAGACCCTGCAGGGAGAGGTGGCCAGTGGCCTTGACCAATGAAGCCCAGCCACAAGCCGTCTGCACACCCTGTTCTCACCGCAGTGCTGGGCTCCTCCCTGCCCTCCTCTCCCACCAGCCGCTCAGTCCCTCCCCTCCGCCCAGGTCACATCCAGTCCGCCAGAGCCCTGATGGTGGTGGCCGTGCTCCTGGGCTTTGTGGCCATGGTCCTCAGTGTCGTTGGCATGAAGTGCACACGTGTTGGAGACAGCAACCCCATTGCCAAAGGCCGCATCGCCATCGCCGGGGGTGCCCTCTTCCTTACGGCAGGTGAGTGCCCCTGGCTCCGTCTTCACCATTTTGGCCATGGTAGGCAGCACCGGGGCAGCCCAGGGCCAGAGCAGAGCTGAGCACCGCGCCTCTGTCCTCAGGCCTCTGCGCGTTGACAGCCGTCTCATGGTATGCCACCCTAGTGACCCAGGAGTTCTTCAACCCCAGCACTCCTGTCAATGCCAGGTGAGTACCAGGCGTGGCTTGGGCCAGACGACAGGCTGCACCTCCTGATCCGCCTCCTCTGGGGCCACTGACCTTTGTCCCTCAGGGCACTCAAAGGGGGACAGGGGAAGGGCCCAGGTGCTATCACTGAGAAGGTCTTTGGAGCAGGGAGCCAGTCAGACACGGCCGGGCCCTCCAAAGGGGCAGGCGGCCTGTGGGGGACACCCCAGGAGCTAAGCGCCCTGGCTCTGGGTTTAAATCCCAGCTGTGTGCGTTGGCTGTGTGACAGGCAAGTTCTTTCATCTTTCTGGTTTCCTCCCCTGGAACACGGAGCTAGGGCCCAAGACCAGCTTGTGCGTGGCCGTGAGGGCCCAGCGGATGATGCAGGTAAGGGCCCTGGGAAGCACCCAGCAAACCCAAGCTGGGGTACCTGCCAGAGGCAGCAGCCACTTCAGGCTGGGGAGACGAAGCTGGAGAAAAGACAAGGGCAGATGGTGCAAGGCCTTGAGCCGTGGGAAGGTTTTGTTCCCCATCCTGGGCTAGAAGGCAGCTGACAGCCCCTCCAGCTGTAGTGTGCAGAATGGTACGGATAGGGCAACCAGTAAGGTGGCATGCCAAGGTCTGGAGCTCAGGGCTAAGAGCCAGGAGGCCAGCAGTAGAGAGTGGGTAGAGAGATTTAGGAACTAGAATGGTTGGGACTCGTAAGGCTGAGGGCATGCGGGCTGAGTGGCGCGCTCTGTGAAGAGCCTGGGCCAATCCCAGCTCCTTGCTGTCCTCTCAGCTATGCCAGCAGTGGAGAAAGTGACAGTCTCAGCCCCAGACATCCCAACAGGCCCTGGGCTCTGGACTAGAAGAATGAGAAAGGATGCCCAGGATGTTGTGGTTGGGAGGGCTCCCTGGAGGAGGCAGAGGTGTGAAGAGGGGAGGGAAAGGAGACCTCAGGAATGAGGCTTGTTACCCGGACTGGCAGCCTAGTCATGAAGGCCTGCCAAACAAGAGGCATCTCAGCTCAGAGATGCCAAGCTGGCAACTGTCCCTTATCTCTTCAGTACTCCCCAAGGCCGCCTGGACTGCAGGCACTGTGCTGGGCCCTGGGGATGAATCCAGTGCTGTTTGCCCTTAAGGTGCTCTGCAGGGAACTGAACAGGCAAGAGACTGAATGGTCACCCAGTGAGAGCACCAGGTGTCTAAGCACCGAGGGGTCAGGAAAGCCCCAGGTGAAGCTGACTCTGAACTGAGCCCCAAAGACGGAGCATAGGAGGTATAGAAGGGGGTTCACTCCAGGAGAGGGCGCCCAGGGAGCTGTGGAGGGTTCCAAGGGGCCAGCAGGGCCCAGGTGCAGAGAGCCCAGAGTGCCTGGTGGAGGGGTCTGGCCTTCTCCAGAGGGTGTTGGGGAACCCCGGCTGCAATACTGTGGGCCAGACCAAGACTAAGAGAAAGACAGCCAGGACTGCTCCACTCGTCCCCAAGGGGACCTGGTGGGCGTTCCAATACCCTCTCCACTGGCTGGAGGAGGAGAGGGGCCCGGGGCAGCACAGCACAGGCCCATGCTGGGCCTGGGTCCCCCTGTGTGATGTTGATGTGCTGGGGTGGGGGTGGAAGGAAAGTTGAGCATTCATCCCAGTTTATTCACAGAGACAGAGGAGGCTTGTGAGGCACAAAACCCCCTTCCCCGCCAGCTCCCTGCACCCCGACTGCCTCTGCCATGAGCAGGGACTGGGAGCCCCAGGGGGCCTCACCTGACGGTAGCCTCCCTATTGCCTGCAGGTATGAGTTTGGCCCAGCCCTGTTTGTAGGCTGGGCCTCTGCCGGCCTGGCCATGCTGGGGGGCTCCTTCCTCTGCTGCACATGCCCGGAGCCCGAGAGATCCAACAGCAGCCCGCAGCCCTACCGGCCAGGACCCTCGGCTGCGGCCCGAGAGTACGTCTGAGTCCCGAAAACACCACCCCAGCACTCTGCCAGTCCCTGCAGAACCCTGGGTGGGGCCAGTAAGGCCCAGGTATCCCCTGAGCTTGGTAGGGCTCTGAGCAGCTTGTCCCCAACATAGGCACCCACCTGCACTCTGAGACTCAGACCCAGACACTCAGAGAGGCGCACACCCAGGGGCAGGCATAGGCCTGTCCTCACAGCTCTGGCACCAGCCCAGATGCCAACCCTTTCACAAGCCACTTACTCACTAAAGGGTCACATGGGTGTCAACTCTGTGCGAGGCCCTGGGGTCACAGCAATAAAGATGGACTTTGGTTCCCAGTGCCCTGGGGTGGCCAGAGACATCCGCCTCCCTGGGCTGTGGGCTCCTCGCAGCAACCCTGTGAAGGAGGCAGTGCCAGGATGATGACCATCCCCCACATGAAGAAGCAGGGGCAGAGAGACCAAGCGGCTTTGCCCCGCTGTCTAAGCTCAGGCCTCAGGCTCTTCCAGTAGGCCCAGTGCTGTGTGGATGGATACCCACACACAAAGCTAGGCCAGACCGTGTCCCCCTGCCCCCGGGAATGGGCCCCAGGCAGGGCTGCTGTGAGGGCCCAGGTCTGACCGCCCTGGCCAGTCCCTGTGTCTGGACCTGAACCCCACAGCTCCTGCCCCACCCAGTGCTGCTCACCCCACTAACCAGCTCTCCTCTCTTTTGACTTTCAGACCAGTTGTTAAATTGTCCGCCTCCACCAAGGGCCCCCTGGGTGTGTAATGTCCAGGCCCCCAGCCTGGCTCTCTCCCCCGGCCACATCTAGACTGTGTGTTTGGTATTTTTTGGAAACATCCAGAAGTGACTATCCATTCCCAAGTGTGGCGTCATTTGATCTGTCCCTGGCATGCCTAGAGTAGGGCCTGTCTCAGGTCAGAGCTGATCCCTGGGGTCACTGGTCATAGAGATGGGGAGACAGAGGTGGTTTACACAGCACATCCAATGCTGAGCAGGGCTCCTGCCAGCCCCCTGCCCAGCAACCTCCCCAGCCTGGCGTTGGGTTGGCACCTGGACCTCCTTGGTGGGAGACCCACTCTGAGGCCTGACCCAGCACTAGGAGCCAGCCCCAGGGCCTGGGAGCCCCTGGTCTGAAGAGAGACACAGCCTCCACCCCTACTACTCTGCTAGCCCCTTGAAGCCCTTCTGGGGGAGGTAAAGTCCCTGGGAGGCCCTTCAGCTGGGTGCTGGGGATCAGAGCTGGCAAGGGGCATATTGTGGGAGCTCCTAAGCGGAGAAGAGATTGGGGAAGGGCGGTAGGGCTGTTCAGGCATTAGGAGTGTCCTGAGCAAGATGGGAAGCCCCCAGCACTGTTCCCACCCCAGTGCTGCCCCACTTTCCACACCTGCCATTCCTCCTGTCATCTGCTGAGGTCCCGTGACATCCCTGCCCTGGGACCAGAGGATTAAGTGGGTGGCATGGGCTGCCTGAGACTGGCCAGGGCTCCATCCTCACCGCGGTGCAATCAGAGCTGGAAGGGCTTTTGGTCTTGAAGTACAGATATTGCCCCCTTAGCACAGAAGGGGGACATGGAATGTAGGGAAATGAACCCAGCTCAGCCCCGCCCCTCATGCTCATGCCTCCCTGGACCCTGAGTCTCTGGCCACTGACCTCTCTCCCCTAACTGCATAGAGGCGACCCTAACTCTCCCTTGCCCTCCCCGCCATGTCTCAGCCAGCTCTGTCTGGCTTCCTCCGCCATCCGTCTTGTGCTCACATCTCCCACCAAGTCACCACAGTGCAAGGACATAGCTCAGTGCTCTCCCCTGAGCTTGACTCTGAGAGATGAAGTCAGACAAGACGACTGCCACGCACCTTCTGGCAGAGGGTAGGGATGGGAGGAGAGGACCAAATGGCACGACTGCCACAGGAGTATCCGTGCAGCTCCCCGGCCTGGCAGCTGCCGCACATCCAAGGGGGCCCTGTTGGAGCAACCGCTTTGCATGTCCGGCCTCTGGCTAGAGGGGGTGAGCATCTGACCCTTATATGGGTTTACCAGTGTCCTGCCCCTTGAATTATGAATGAGACCTGCACGGGAGTCTCAGTGGGCACTGAAGCTACAGCGCAGCAGCCCTGTGCCTGGGTGTAGTTTGAGTCACCTGGGGAGCTGATGCCCAGGCTCCACCCCCAGAATTCCTGACTTAATTGGCCTGCAGTGGGCATCTGAGGTCAGGCAGCTCCCAAGGGACTGTGATGTGTGGTCAGCACTGAGGGCATCTCTGTGAGGCCTAAAGCTCAGGGCTGTTGGGGCTCCATTTCTTGCCACTCTGAGGGGGTCAGAGGGAGAAAGGTGCCTAGGAGAGGCAAGATGAGGGAAGAAGAGAGGAAGGCCTGTCTCCTACTTTTCCTGAGGCTAGGAAGTTCCGTGAGATCCCACATCTTCCCAATAACTCTAGTCCTTTTTGGCTGAAACAATTTTGAGTTTCATTTCTGTCACACACAGCTAGGAGAGCCCTGACTAACACTGAACTTGGAACCTGGAAAACGAGTTTCGCTTTGAGGGCTCCTGTTATGGGTACCAGATGAGCAGGGTGAGATGTGGGACCCAGAGGTTTAATGTCCAGGATTTGGCAATGCTTGCTATCTGGTCATGAGGCTGTAGGCCAGGAAACCACATATCATTTCCTGAGGCTCAAGGTCCACCAAGAGCTTAGGACTGGCAGGAGTATGCTGAGATAGAACATGCTGCCTGAGTGGGTTTCAGGGACAGACTGCAGGAGAGATTCGCTCCATGCCTGCGGGCGGGCCTGACTGCAGGCAGGAACAAGCTTCTGTCTGATTCTTCACGAATGTGAACAAAGGCCCTTTCTGCCTATAGCCCAGGCTTGGAGAGGTAGAGTCAGATCACCATACAAAACCCAATTAACACACTGATTAACAACATAGTGGGATCCAGCAATGGGAAGGAAACTTCTGGGAAAAGCTAGAGGATTCTGAAGCTCGAAGAGCTTGGGAAACCTAACCCGCAGGCCTCTTATGAAGCAACCTCTTTCAAATGTCTACATCAAGGTTACCAGGACTGCCAACCTGTGGCAGGGCCAACTTTCCAGGCCGTCGTCATGCCTGAGCTCCTGTTTTTTTATTTTACTGTTCCAGCCTCAGGGCTGAAGGGCTGGACAGAGACCTAGGAAGGTCAGAAAGGCCATAATCCCATTGTTTATTAGCAAATAGTTCCCCAAGAATGAAATTGGCAGGCCATAAAATACAGTTTTGGGAGGAATATACCTGTGCACTCAGCCCCTAAGGAAAGCCCACGTGTTGTGGCAATAGAGGGGGTTCAGCTAAGCCGAGTGGTGCTAGCACAGTGGAGTAGCTGACCAGGGGACTCATCTATTGCCTGCTTCTGAGGACAGATCTGCACTGAGTATTAGATGATATTACGGAATTATGGTAAATTCTGTGTGATAATGACACTGGTTATTTTTAAAATACTGTTAGAGGTGAACACTGAAATGATGTAATGGCTGGACTTGCTCTAAGAACAAAAAAGGTCAGGGGCAGGGAAGTTATGAGATTGATAAATGCTAGTGGTACTTAGGGGTTTACTTTGCTGTTCTCTGTATGTTTGCAAATGAAAAAAATAAAAGCTTAAAAATACCTCTAAGTGTTGCTGTCATGATTTAACATACCCCATGCTGACCACTGGCATATGCATGATGAATGCCCCACTCCTGCTACTCAAAGCACAGTCCTCTGATGGCAGCATCGCATCATCGCTAGGAACCTTGTGAGATATACAGAATCTTGGAGCCCATCCCAGACTAGGTGAAACAGATTTGGCATTTTAACTAAATCTCCAGAGGATTCGTGTGCACACTGAAGTTTGGGAAATGAAGATCTAGGCTAGTGGGAGCTGTGAGCTGCCTCTCCTTTTCTAGATGAGAATTTCAATCGAGCTACTGTTGTTCTTCATCATTTGAACAATAGATACAAATCAAGTGTTTCAATTAATGATTTTTGTCTAGAGTTTCAAGATCACAGTGAGTCACAACTAAGCCTGATCCAGGTGAAACTGGAAATGAAGAATGGTCAACACCCAAAGTAGTGCATCTAGACTTTTTCTGCATGTAGAGCACATACAAATATTTGCAGGCAATTTTATTCTAGACAACACTCCTGTTCAAAACAACTAAAAATCATGGGGAAAGCATAAAAAATTATTTAAAGCATTACAGGGCTGACACAATGAGATGGAATCATCAAGTCAAAACCTGAGAAACTCCCTCTCCCTCATGCCCACGTGGTGGCCCATGTGGTCCACAAAGCTGAGAGGTCCTTGGCTGACAGGGTCAGAAATTTGTAATTATGAGGATTGAACAAGTAAGTAAATATACTGAGAGTGATGGGAGCCAGACTTCTGACTATCAATTTACAAAGATGGAAACAGGGAAGACAAGAATAAATCCTGTGGTTTTAGACTGGAAGTATCTGATTAAACATATGACATTTAAAATATGTAGACAAACATCAAAATATAGTTGTGTATGCACACACATTAGTGTGATATGTACACATACATCTATCTATAAGCTCTACCCCCTAGAAAGGCCTAAAAGCAATGACACCCCAGTAGCAAGCCTGTATCTTGATTTCTGAATACTGTTCTCCATTAACAGGTACCAGGGCTCCACGGAGAAATGGCTGATTTGAGGGCTAGGGTAAGGAAAGTACAAAATTCTTTTGGACCATCTTAATGTTCCAGAAAGTAAGAAAGTGCTTAAGGAAACTAAAAGATACAGAAACAAGATCAAAGGGGTTCCCACTGGCTTTATCTAGGACAATTTGAGCATCAAAAAAGTAGAGTTATGGATTTTAACTCAGTGAATTCATTAGTCCATATTGATATAATAAATAAGTGGGGAAGAAGAAAATGCTCTACTTTACAGTAAAATACCAACTTATATAAATAACTAATTAATAAGTGTGAAGTATTTAACTTTACAGTGGTGAAGCACAGCAGACCTATCTTAATCAAGTGGTAAGAGTTAACACCGTTAATAATGAGACAAGTAAAAATTGCTTGTTCCTTAATAAAATGCATGGAGCATCATTTATATGACACTCCTGCTAAAATGCATAAACTGAATCTACTTATGACAAGATAGAAAAATCCAAATTGAGGTTAGTCTACAAAATAACTGCCTGTACTCTTCAAAGCTGTCCAAGTTATGAAAGGCTAGGAAAGACTGAGGAGACTGAAGAGATATTACAGCTATATGCTCTGAGTGATCCCGGGTCAGATTCTCAACCTATAGACATTTTTGGTACAATTGGTAAAATTTGAATATGTCTGTGGTTTAGAAGGTACTATTGCATTAATTTCCTGAATTTGATAGTTTCCTGTGGTTTTGTAGGACAGTATCCTTGTATTTTAGGAAATACACACTTAATTATTAAGAGGAAATACACAATGAAGCATCAGAAAAAAATATGCATGATATACTTGAAGAAAAAGTTACCAAGCACATATTTGCAGCATATTAACCAGGTAATCTAAGTGAAGGGAGCTCTTTGAACTAGTCTTGCAATTCTTCTCTAAAGTTTGAAATCATTTCAATATAGAAAGTTAAAAAAAAAAAAAACCCTAAGGATAGCTAGATTGTGGAGAAGCTGCTCTTCTCAGAGCACACTTGGAAATCCAGACAAACCTAGATACCTTCCAAGATGGCTATGGAAAGAAAAGTTTCTGCTTCAATCTATGGTGGAACTTTAAACAAATTATTTCACCTTCATTTTTGAAAGATGCTTTTGCTGGGTATAAAATTCTGGGTGACTTGCCCCTCTCGGTACTTTACAGATGTCATCCTAGTGTCTTCTAGTTCACAGTTTTTAAATGCAAAGTCTGTGGTAATTCTTTTATTCCTTTGTTTTTCTTTCTGGCTGCTTTCCAATTTTCTCCATCTTTGGTTTTCAGAAATTTGACAGTGAAGTGCTTGAGTATGTTTTGGTATTCATTCTGCTTGGGGTTTTTGAGCTTCCTGGATATGTTTATCTTACACTGATTTTGGAAATTTGTCAGCCATTTTTTTCAAGTGTTTCTTTTGCTGCATTTTCCTGTCCTCATCTACTACTTCAATTACATGCTTGACATTGTATCAAAGATCTTAAATAGTTTTATTCTTTCATGTTTTTGTCTTCTGTCAAAGTTAGGATAATTTCTACTGACCCATCATCAAGTTCACGAATTCTTACCTTTGCTGTCATCATTTGGTAAACACATGTAAGCAATACTCATTTCTGATGATGCTTAGTTTCTAATGCTTAGTTTGAGACTTGGAACCCAGAGTTTTGGAGTGTCCCTGTGAGCCTCAGCATTCAACACTCCCTACAAAGGGACTCTCTGTGCTTTTGCCCCTTTCCCAGCAGACACTTGCCATTGTTTTAGACACAAGCTCATGTCAATGGTGGAGTGACTTCTCACTTCTGCTCCAGCTGAAGTTGTAGACAGGCCCTGTGCACCTGAGCCTCAGGGCAAGGGCTTTCTCCTCCTCACAGAACATCTGATATCTGCATTGAAATGGTGGTGGATCTTGGGTAGGAGTGTTTCCTGCCCTCCCAACAGGCAGCAGACCTCTGTGTTACAGCAATGCAGGATCCTAGTCCTGAATGGGCTTCCTACTTTCTCCTAGTGGCAGGCAGCTTTTACTTCTACTCCACCTGAGAAGTTGGCAACCTTTGTATGGACTTCTTTTTCATTCCTTTTCTATCTTCTAATAATTTCAAATGGGATAATTTTCTTCTGTTTGTTAAGTCTGCTGCTTGTGAGTGCGCTCCATTTTTGTCTAGGATGTCTTTTTTCACCTTCATATCCTACTGTGTACACTCTTGGGCTGCAATTTTCTTTCACATCACTGAAGACATCATTCCAGTTTTCCGGCACCTACTGCTTCTTTTGAGAAATCAAATGTCAGCTTAAGTGTCACTCCTTTAGTTGGGGGTGAAGTACTGAAAGTAATCACCCCATCTTACCCCCTGGTTTTTGAGATGTTTCTTCTTTAAAAAAAAACTGTGACTATTATTTATGTTTAATGTTGATTTCTTTTTATTTGAACTTTATGGGCTTCTTTACTCTTCTGTTCTCTTCCCTGCCCCTAATGTAATTTCTAAGTTTCACCCATTAGCCTTCAACTCTTTCCTTTTTCCTTTCTTCTGTGGTCCAATTATCATCTGGTTTATTTTTACTACACTCTCTCCCTTAGCTTTTCTTCTCTTTTACACATTTTTTATTCTCTGTACTTCCTTACAAATGGTTTCCTTCAGCCATTTCTCAGTTTATCAAAATAACTAATTTTATCTTCAGCTGTGTTTAATCGCCTTGTAAACTTGTTCATTTATTTATTTGGGGTACTGTATTTTTGTTCTCCAGTTTTCACCTGGTTAATTAAAAAAAAAATCTGCTGTGTCACTGTCTGGTTACCTTCTTTATTAGTTGCTAGGGCTGTCATAACAAAGTATCACAGACTAGGTGGCATAAATAACCCAAATTTATTTCCTCACATTCCAGGAAGCTAGAAGTCCAAGATCTAGATGTTGGCAAAGTTGGTTTCATTCTGCAGCCTCTCTCCTTAGATTTTAAAAGATTATTTTCATGTCCTACTCTCCTCTTCTTAAAACGACACGTCATATTGGATTAAAGCCTACCTCAATGACCTTAACCTTACTCTTTTAAAAACCTTATGTCCAAATAGTCACATCCTGAGGTACTGGGGTTAGGGCTTTATATATGAATTTGGATGTTAAGAGGGACACAATTTAGCCCATTGGGCTAAATTCTAAACTTTCAAGCTTCTCCCTATATCTCCCCTAACATAGCAAACATTGTTGCTTTACATTATGTGTCTGATATTTTTGGTATTTGGGGTTCCTGTGGGTCTTTTTCTATTGTCTACTGTTTCTGCTGGTCCTTGTCCAAGTTGCCCTAAACCTCAGTATGTGCCCAATTTAGTTATTTATGAAATATTTATAGAAATAATTTAAAGCCTAGAATTACACAATTTTCCAGATATTATTTTATTTGCTTTAGCTTGGTGCCTAGGGGCACTAGTAATTCTGGATCACCTTTATCTAAGTTCAGGGCTTGAGATTTCTGGGCTCAGACATGACTCAAGTCAGGTTGCAATCCATCTGAGGGTTATTTTAATCACTATTAATGGCACAACCATTCAAAGTTCCTAACACAAAGCAATAGGTTAGTTTACAAGGAGTCCCACACTTGGGCCTGGACTCCAAACAAATTTTTCCCTCCAGCACTATACAACTGCTTCTTCCAGTTCAGCAGACACACTTCCAAATCAGCACTCAGCCTCTCAGTTGCCTATTCCAGATTTGCAAACATCCAGCAGAGAAGTAGCCCCAAGCATCAGACTCACTTTTTCTACACTGTTAACCTCTTCTGCATCTACCCTGGGAATCTCTTAGTATTTAAGATTCTTAAAACTATTTTGTCTAATGTTTTTGGCCAACTTCAGCAAAAAGAATTGGCCCAACTTCTTCAAAAGGGGAAGTCAACAGTCATCCTTGCAAAATGCCACTATGTAATTTCAGAGTATATTTAAAAATTATTACTCAGAACATTTTTATTTCCTCTTCTGT